AAACGGCTCCAGGACTGGAGCCGGAGCCGGAACCGGTCACAAAGATCGGCGACGGAACCGGTAAAAAAACGGCGTCGGAACCACCAAAATTATCCTGGCGAAGGACCCAAACATATGCAATTGTGAATACTGCAATTGTGAATATCTTCTCGGTGGAGCCCCCTACGGGGCCACGAAACGTACGAGGGGTGTGCCGAAATGGGTGTGCGGGACGCATGCGGGCACACCCACTGGGGCCTTCGGTGGAGCTCCCTATGGGGCCACGAAACGTGTGAGGGGTGTGCCGAAATGGGTGTGCGGGACGCATGCGGGCGCACCCACTGGGACCTTCGGCGGAGCTCCCTATGGGGCCACGAAACGTGTGAGGGGTGTGCCGAAATGGGTGTGGCTGACGCATGCGGGCGCGGGCACTGGGGCCTTCGGTGGAGCTCCCTATGGAGCCACGAAACGTGTGAGGGGTGTGCCGAAATGGGTGTGGGTGACGCATGCGGGCGCGGGCACTGGGGCCTTCGGTGGAGCTCCCTATGGAGCCACGAAACGTGTGAGGGGTGTGCCGAAATGGGTGTGGGTGACGCATGCGGGCGCGGGCACTGGGGCCTTCGGTGGAGCTCCCTATGGAGCCACGAAGCGTGTGAGGGGTGTGCCGAAATGGGTGTGGGTGACGCATGCGGGCGCGGGCACTGGGGCCTTCGGTGGAGCTCCCTATGGAGCCACGAAACGTGTGAGGGGTGTGCCGAAATGGGTGTGGGTGACGCATGCGGGCGCGGGCACTGGGGCCTTCGGTGGAGCTCCCTATGGAGCCACGAAACGTGTGAGGGGTGTGCCGAAATGGGTGTGGGTGACGCATGCGGGCGCGGGCACTGGGGCCTTCGGTGGAGCTCCCTATGGAGCCACGAAACGTGTGAGGGGTGTGCCGAAATGGGTGTGGGTGACGCATGCGGGCGCGGGCACTGGGGCCTTCGGTGGAGCTCCCTATGGAGCCACGAAACGTGTGAGGGGTGTGCCGAAATGGGTGTGGGTGACGCATGCGGGCGCGGGCACTGGGGCCTTCGGTGGAGCTCCCTATGGAGCCACGAAACGTGTGAGGGGTGTCACGAAAGCTCCCTATGGAGACGAAAGGGGTGTGCCGAAATGGGTGTGGGTGACGCATGCGGCGCGGGCACTGGGGCCTTCGGTGGAGCTCCTATGGGGCCACGAAACGTGTGAGGGGTGTGCCGAAATGGGTGTGGGTGACGCATGCGGCCGCGGGCACTGGGGCCTTCGGTGGAGCTCCCTATGGAGCCACGAAACGTGTGAGGGGTGTGCCGAAATGGGTGTGGGTGACGCATGCGGCCGCGGGCACTGGGGCCTTCGGTGGAGCTCCCTATGGAACCACGAAACGTGTGAGGGGTGTGCCGAAATGGGTGTGGGTGACGCATGCGGGCGCGGGCACTGGGGCCTTCGGTGGAGCTCCCTATGGAGCCACGAAACGTGTGAGGGGTGTGCCGAAATGGGTGTGGGTGACGCATGCGGGCGCGGGCACTGGGGCCTTCGGTGGAGCTCCCTACTGGGGCCTTCGGCGGAGAGCCACGAAACGTGTGAGGGGTGTGCCGAAATGGGTGTGGGTGACGCATGCGGGCGCGGGCACTGGGGCCTTCGGCGGAGCTCCCTATGGAGCCACGAAACGTGTGAGGGGTGTGCCGAAATGGGTGTGGGTGACGCATGCGGGCGCGGGCACTGGGGCCTTCGGTGGAGCTCCCTATGGAGCCACGAAACGTGTGAGGGGTGTGCCGAAATGGGTGTGGGTGACGCATGCGGGCGCGGGCACTGGGGCCTTCGGTGGAGCTCCCTATGGAGCCACGAAACGGTGTACTGGGTGGGTGAAGAGGAGAGGAGGAAAGGAGGGGAGGAGAGGAGGAGAGGAGAGGAGAGGAGAGGAGAGGTGAGGAGAGGAACGCGGGGCACCGTCTCTTCAAAACGAGGACCCAACACCACAAGATGGTTGGGAAAAACGGCAAAACGGAACCGGTAAAAAGACGGCCCAGTTGGAGGGTCCCTGTCGTTCCCAGGGCCCACTGAGGTCCTGGCACGCGCGGAGCTCCCCGCGGGGGCGCGCGCCTGGCAGGCGTCTGCCCTGGCCCCCGGCGGTGGCCGGTGGCGGTGGCCCCCGCCTGCGTGCTGAGACGCGGGTGCCACTTCTGCGGCGGGCGGGTGCTCATGAAGGGGCCCTGGGACACACAAGTGAATACACACCAATAAAAAGATCCCCAACATTTTTCCATATGTTCTGGGTTTTTGTCTTCCCCCCATTTCCCATATTTTCGCATATCTTCTTGGGGATCGACGATTCATTGTGTCTGTGTGTTTTTTCCCTTCCTGAGCTTTGTGGGCCCTGGAAACGACAAGGCCGTTTTTTGTTACCGGTTCCGTTTTGCTGTTTTTTGTTGCCGGTCCCGGCGCCGTTTTGTTCACCGGCTCCGTCGCCGTTCTTTTACGGGCTCCCGCTCCGGCTCCCATCCTGGAGCCGTTTTTCTTGCCGTTTCCGGTCGCCGTTTTTTTTTTGCCGCTTCCACTTTCAAGGGGCACTCTTTCTCGGAAGCGGTGAAAACAAACGGCCCTGCCGTTTCCGGGGCCCACTAGGGGCGGGCGGGCGTGAGCCACACCGACGGCCATCTTTCGTGCCTCCCCCCGCTCGACGGGCCGCCGCCGACCCACCAATAAACATGCGCCGCCGCGGCCCTGTCAGGAGGCCGTGCGCAGTGCCCCTTTGTGGCAGCGCGTTCGACCCTGCGCGGGCGCCCAGGCGGTCGCTTCTGCTGGACCTCTCCCGCGCCCCTCGGCAAGAGAGGCGCCGCAAGGACGCTGTCGGGGAGCTTGCTGGACAGGTCCGGACATAAGGATTGACGACGATCCAGACAGAGGAGGGGGAGGAAGGAGGAGGAAGGAGGAAGGAGAAGGAGGAGGAGGAGGAGGAATGAGGAGGAGAAAGGAGGAGGATCATTGTCGATGGGGGGAAGCTGTATCGTCGGCGACGAGGGCGAGCGCCAACGCGGTCAAACACTGGATGAGTGAACGAGAAAAGAGGGCGGCCACGGAGGGGGGGCGCGGGAGGAGGCCTCGGGCGAAGAGCACCTTCAAGACGAGGGGTGCGCAGGTGGCCTCAAGTGACCGAAGCTGTTGCACGAAGGGTGAGTGACCAGTGCCAGCGAAGGGACGACATGACACGATCATGCACACCATAATCGACGATGGTGAGTAACATGATGACAACACGCAGCTCGACAACACATACGACGCACGCCACAACATGGGGCACTGCTAATACTGCTAATACACCACATGATGCACACACCAGACGAGGAGGGGAGGAGGAGGAGGAGGAGGAGGGAGGAGGAGGAGGAGGAGGAGGAGGAGGAGGAGGGAGGAGGAGGAGGAGGAGGAGGAGGAGGAGGAGGAGGAGGGGGAGGAGGAGGAGGAGGAGGAGGAGGAGGAGGAGGAGGAGGAGGGGGAGGAGGAGGAGGAGGAGGAGGAGGAGGAGGAGGAGGAGGAGGAGGAGGAGGGGGGAGGAGGGGGAGGGGGGGAGGAGGAGGAGGAGGAGGAGGAGGAGGAGGAGGAGGAGGAGGAGGAGGAGGACTCGAAAACTAAGGGCAATGCGGTCGACTCCGCCGCCGCGCCCCCCTTCCCGCGCACGCTGCGCAGGCTCATGAGGTCGCGAGCCAGCCCCAGAAACAGGGCGGGCCTCCACCTCCCTGCCACTACCAGGGCAGAATATATCTGCGGGGCCGAAGCCCCGAGCCGCGAACTCAATCACATGCAACTGGTTGAGCCCCCACAGCACCTGGACGTAGAAGACATGGAGGCAGTGGCTCTGGGAGGTTGCCCAACAATTCCGCCCACGACAACAAATAGGAGAGGCCTATGGATGCGCCCGCAGTTAACGTTCAATGTGGTGCTAACCCTGTTGGCGCCCGTGCGTCCATTCTCCCGCACAGCTGACAACCGCAGAACGAGGCTTCCAATCCACAAGCGGCACTCTCCCATCACAGGGTTGCGGAAGCCCACCAAGCCACGTACTCTTCACGCGTGAATTGTAGTGCCCTGCGCAAAACACCGCAACGTAGGACGACGACGCAATGCAACGAGCCCTCCGACACGGAGAAAAGCGCCCCACAGCAGCGCACCCCATCTCCTTCCTCAAGAAGACCGCCACTGCAGGAAAAAACAAGCCGTATGTGGGGCATGACTGGCCAAAAAGGCTCTCTCTTCACACAAAGCTGCAACCACCACGTGCTTGACATACTCTGAACGCTCAACATCGGTTCGAAGGTCGGTAGCGTGTTTTCCGGAACAATCTTCGGAACAAAATGCCGAACGTCGTGCAAAACAACCCACTGTATAATAGCGGTTGCAACTGCACAAAGAATAAGAGACCCAAGCCTGATATTGTGGGGCATGCCTGGCCAAAAAGGCTCTCTCTTCCCACTTTGCCGCTGCACGCCCACGATGATGCTCACCTGCTCCTGGGACCTGCAATCGATTTTGGTGACGTGAGCCAGCTCTGGTGAGCCAAACTGGTCCGAGCCAATTGTTACTTGAGGGAGGAGGAGGAGGAGGAGGAGGAGGGAAAAAAGAGGGAGGAGAAGGAGGAGGAGGAGGAGGAGGAGGGGGAGGAGGAGGGGGAAAAGGAGGAGGAGGGGGAGGAGGAGGGAGGAGGAGGAGGAGGAGGAGGAGGAGGAGGAGGAGGAGGAGGAGGTGGAGGAGGAGGAGGAGGAGGAGGAGGAGGAGGAGGAGGAGGAGGAGGAGGAGGAGGAGGAGGAGGAGGAGGAGGGGAGGAGGGAGGAGGAGGAGGGGGAGGAGGAGGGGGAGGAGGAGGAGGAGGAGGAGGAGGAGGAGGTGGAGGAGGAGGAGGGGGAGGAGGAGGCGGAAGAGGAAGAGTGCAGGATCGCCGAACGGCATCGCACATGGCTGGCTCGAGCCGCTCGGCGGCTCGCGAAGGGTCGGAGGAGGGCTGCGGCCGCAGCTCCTCGGCCAGGGCGCTCCGGAGCCGGAGCAGGCGCTGCTGGAAACACCAGGCGTCCTCGGCGGGGGCGGCAGGATCCGAGCAAGCTGAGCTAAAGCGGCCCAGGGGCACACAAACAAATACACACATATCCAAGGATACACAAAGAAATGCACAAGTTAAGCTAAGGGGTGCAGGGATGCACAAATAATCCGAAAAAGCTGAGCTAAAGGGGCCCTGCGGCACACACAGAAATACACAGTCACTCGAATCCCAGGATACCCCACATATTTGTCGTGTATAGTTTTTGGGTTGTTGTCTTCTTCCCCCACTTTCCATCGTTTCCCCGGTGTTCGTGGGGATCGTCGAGGAATGGTGTCTGTGTGTTGTTTTCTTTTTTCCCCCTGCTGATAGGCTATGGATACCATACAGGTATCTACATGCATATGTATAGTTACACACGTGTAGACACGTGTGTAGAGGAGGGGGAGAGAGGGATACCAAAACAAGAAAGAGATAGAAAGAGAGAGAGAGAGAGAGAAAGAAAGATAACTAGGGGACGAGCAGCTAGAAGTGAGAGCGGAGCGGAGCGGAGCGGAGCGGAGGCGCCGGTTCCGGGCACCGGGGGTGCCCGTGCCCTTTGGGCAAGGCGCAAGAGGCCGTAACCTCAGACCGTGTGGGTGCTGAAACTCTGGATGACATAATTCACAAACCGGAACAGATAGAGCGCGTGGTCGGAATTGGACAGCAACCAGCACACATAGAATATGTGGACGAGGAGGAGAAAAGGAGAGGGGGGGAGGAAGTGAGAGGGGGAGGAGGAAGGGAATGAAATAGGTAGCTCGAAAGAGAAAGAGAGAGAGAGATGGAGAGAGCGATAACGTGATGAAGGGATTATATAGATACAGTGAAGGATAGGGACAGAGATATAGAGAGTTTGTGTGAGAGAGAAAGAGAACAAGCCATGGCAAGTAAAAGAGAAAGAGAGAGAGACAGTGATACCGATGCATGAATATATACATGTAAGCATGGAGAGAGAATAGGCGAGAGAGAGAGGGAGAGAGAGAGAGAGAGAGAAAAAATGATAGCGAGTAACAGAGGTAGAGAGATCGGGATAACGCGAGACTGATCTAGAGGGAGGGGGGGAGATGGACGAAACAACAGACAAACACATAATTATATATAGAAAGAGAGATGGACTCACACGTGGCATGCCTGCATTGTTCTATCTACGTATGCACATATGTGCACGTACATGACAGAAAAATAGACAGAGACAGAGAGGGAGAGAGCCAGAGAGAGTGTGAGGGAGAAGGAGAGAGAAGGATAACACTGATGGGGATTATATATACAGATAGAGTGAGGTATACATACATACATATAGAGAGAGAGAGAAGAGAGAGAGAGAGAGAGAGAGAAAAATAACAAGTAAAAACGGGAGAGAACGAGAGGGACAGATAGAGAGAGAGAGAGAAAGAGACACACGGAGTGTGTCTTTATTCATGCAGCTCCACATCTCTCTACACTTCAGCGAGAGAGAGAGAGAGAAAGAAAGAGAGAGAGAGAGAGAGACAAAAAAAACGAAATAGAAGGACAAGCATAACGCGACGGATAACGGTTACGACAGAGGAGGAGAGCTTCAAACAGCAGAGGAGGTCTGAAAGGAGGGACAGAGCGAGGGCGGGGGGGAGAGGGGAGGGAAGGCATGGTGGCGGGGAGGGAGGGCAGAGGGGAAACTGGAGGGAGCCAAACCGAATGCATGAGCTGGTTTCGCCGGCGCTGGTTCTGCCCCGCTGGTTCCGCCGACGGCTGGTTTCGCTGGCGCTGGTTTCGCCGACGCGAACCTTACCAGGCGGGTCGGGACGGGCGGGCGGACCCTAGCGGGCGGGACGGGTCGGGTCGGGCGGGCGGACCCTGACGGGCGGGTTGGGTCGGGCGGGCGGGACATTGAAGTGGGGGCGCGCGCTCGACCGACCACGCGCGAGCCCTAACGGGCGGGTGGGGTCGGGCGGGCGGACCCTAGCGGGCGGGTCGGGTCGGGTCGGGCGAGCCCTGACGGGCGGGTCGGATCGGGCCGGCGGGATATTAAAGTGTTGGGCGCGCTCGACCGAGCACGCGCGATCCCTATCAGGCGGGTCGGGTCGGGCGGGCGGAACCTAGCGACCTAGCGGGCGGGTCGGGTCGGGCAGTTTCGCCGACGGCAGCTGGTTTCACTGACGGCCCCTGGTTTCGCCGACGGCTGGTTTCGCGAAACCAGGCGGGCGAAACCGGCCGTCGGCGACACCAGCGGTCGCCAAAAGGGAGGGGCACGAGAAGGATGGCGCGAGAGCGGCATATATATATATATGTATATACATATATATATATATATATTGAGAGAGAGAACAAAAAAAAGAGGGAGCACATACATGAGCCGTAGAGAACACACGGAGACATGCGCAGGTGTGCCATGTGCGCGCAGTGAGGTGCAAGGAGTACCGCATAAGGAACGATCAATTATACATAACGCATAGGGAACGATCAATAGCGCATGAAAGCCTAAGGAAAGACCGAGCCCCTTGTGAAAAATAAGTGTTCCTTATTCAAGCCGCTCACTCTAGGGCCCAAGGTCTAACCGTCCGGAGTTCCCGAGTGCCCTCCGGATCCGCTCCAGAGCAGTCTAGAATCCTCTGCAACATCCTGGGTCATGCTGGGAACCTTTCTGAGATGTCTACAGCCATCTCACCTTTCGAGACCACTTTGGCGCCCGAAGGGGCTCTCGAACACTCGAGGCCTCCAGATCCTCCCGAGCTCGCTAAGGCCCTCTACAGGACTCTCAAACCTTCTGAAACCCTACAGGAACACATTGGATCGCCCCAGAGCCTTCGCCTTCTTAAAACCCTCCCAGAGCTAGAGGAAAGAGAACTATGCACATGCACCGATTCTGGCCAGGCCCACCCTGAGCCCAGGATCGGTGCATACGCCCTCCTACCTTGGCCAGGAAGGCATATGCACCGATCCTGGGTCAAGGATGGGCCTTGCCAGGATCGGTGCATGTGCATAGTTCTCTTCGCCCGAAGAGCACGCCAGAGCCACACGGTGCCCTCCGGCGCGCGCTCAAACATTCGCTTGCCACCAGGAGCCCCCTTCCAGGACCCTCTCAAGCATCCCAGAGCACCCGAACATCAATTTGGGGCCACCTGGCGTCCCCGAGAGCGTCCGAGCCTCAACACTCCGGAGGGATGCCGCGGAAAGAGCTCGGGGGCCTTCGGGAGCCCGCTGCGTCCCGCGAGAACCCTCCCGGGGGGATGCCCGAGCGCCCCGACGCATGCCGAACACCTCGGAGCAGCTCAGAAACACCCAGAGCCTTCGAGAACACTCGAGCGCCCTCTCTATCCGTCTAGGGCCCTCCAGGGCACTCCTAGAACTCTCTGAACCTTGCTGGATCATGAGGCAGAGCTGTCTAGAACCCCCCTCGAGCTTTCGACATGATGCTGGTGCCCCCTGGAGACCCCCCTGATCCCTCGAGGCTTAAACATCCTGCCGAAACTTTCTACAGCCCGCATGCGGCATCCTCAAACCTTCGGGATCCCTCTAGAGCCTCACACCGCGCTCAAGAGGCTTCTTCCGATACCTCCTGAAGCCCTTTACTCCATTCTAAAGCCGTCCAGTCTAGACCCTTCTAGAATGGCCTGGCATCCTCTACTCCCCCGCCCCGACGCCTTCTGGAACCCTCTAGGACGCACTTGGACAAAGTGGTGGGGTCCTCCAGGTCAACCCTGCATTACCGTTGAATCATCCCATGCCTTCCAGAACACCCTAGAGCGTTTAGGCCAGTCTGGATCCATGTGGCGCCTGCCTGAGCCCTCTGGGGCCTCCTGGAGCATTCTGGGATCGACCATGGCGGTCTAACGCTGTTCTATGGTGGTAAGACATTCTAGAGTAGTCGAAAACCCTTTAGCGCAATATCCGACCCTCTGAAGTTCTCCAAAGCCACCCAGCTAAGTGCAGAAATTCCTGATAGCCCTCTCTAAGTCAATCAAGAAGTGCGCTACGAACCCTTCTAGACCCCTCTATTACTCCCTACTTGGGTGCGTAGCCAGGCAATCCCAGCGTGGCCAGGCAATCTACTTCTAGACCGCCTGGGCAATCCAGAGTAGTCAGGCCCATCCCCAATGCAGTGCTCGACGGGAGGGAGAAGAAACACAACATCCTGGCGAAGTACCCAACCGAGTAGCGCAGTTGTGAGTATCGTCCTGGGTGGAGCTCCCTGTGGGGCCACGAAGCGTTTGAGGGATGTGTCAAAATGGCCCGGGAGCCGAATGCGAACCCTGCCACTGGGGCCTTCGGCGGAACCTATAGGGCCACGCGATGTGCGAGAGGTGTGCCGGAATGGACATGCGGTGGGCGGGGAGCCGCATGTGGACCCCCTGCCACTGGGGCTATGTCGGGCGTGTCCCCCTACATGGAATTTTCAACGAAACATGAAAAACTGCAAACATACCCCAAGAAGGCAAGACAAAAAAAGACACACCCAAAATAGTCCCCTGACTATGTTTGGACTATGTTTTGACTATTTGCGGGTATTTTTTTAATTTTTCGTCGAAAATTCCCCCGTAGGGGGACAGGCACGACTCGCTGAAGCTTCCCTCGGTGAAGCTTCCCTCTCGATGGGGCTGGCATGACTCGGGGATGGAGAGACCCCCCTTTAGTAAAACGTGGTTTAGTGAAAACGACCTGAGGTCCAAACTTGGCGGGCGCAAGCCTGGAAAATAACGGCCACGGCGCCATCTCGAGAACCGAAAACGGACAATTCACTAATCGACGTGTCACTGTTGGGGGTTCTGTCCACCCCCGAGACATGTGAGGGGCGTGCCGACAGGTGCTCGCGGTGGGCGGGGGGAGCCGCACGTCGACCCTGCTGCGGGGGCCTTCGGTGGAGCCCCGCCCCCAATAGGGGCCACGAAGCTCAAGGGGCCCAAGGACACAGACATAAATACACATAGATAAAAGGATGCCCCCTATTTTCCCATATCTTCTGTGTTTTTGTCTTCCCCACCACTTCCCATATTTTCCCATATTTTCTCGGGAATCGACGATGAATTGTGTCTGTGTGTTCTTTCCCCTCCTGAGAAGCGTGTGATGGGTCTGCCGACGTGGGCATGCGGTGGGCAGGGAGCCGCATGGCGAACCCTGCTGCTGGGGCCTCCGGTGGAGCTCCCTGTAGGGCCACGACGTGAATGAGGGAGGGGTGTGCCGGAATGGAGGCGAGGGCATCGCATGCGAACCCTGCCACCGGGGCCTTCGGTGGAGCTCCCTGTGGGGCCACGAAGCGAGTGAGGGGTGCGCCGAACCATGCGCGAGCGGAGAGCAGCAGCAGCAGCAGCAGCAGCACCGGCAGGAGCAGGAGGAGGGAGGAGGGCGAGGAGGGAGGAGGAGAGAAGTGGACGCGGGGCGATGCGTATTCAAAACGAGGACAAAAGACCACAGGAAAGTTGGGACACCACGATTTGGAGTATGGTCTAGATTTTGTATATGTTCTGTTTCCGGCCCACCCATCCCCGCGAGCCCTCCTCAGTGCTCCAGAGCACTCCAGAGCACTCTCAAGGCTTCAAGAGCCCCTCTAGAGCCTCCTGGAGCATAACAAACCATGAGCCCAACCCATTCGGAACCCTACTAGTGCCCTCCAGTGAGTCGGAATGGAGAAGCATCGGCCTCATCGGACGAGACCACGGCGACGAAGCCGAAACGGCTCAGGGGCCTCCCAGAAGAAGCTGTGCATGATAGCCAGGGGGGATACACTGGGACCCCCGCACACAGACAGACCAGGCATACATCATCGGCATTATGATGCTCCAACCTACTTTGCCTGAACCACCAGGAATAATGTCGAGCGCCCAAAATCGTGCCGAAACTACAGGGTTTTTACGTATCGGGACCTGAGAGACACTCGCCCGACACTGTTTCGACACTGTTTCGATACTCTTTTGACACTTTTCCTTGTGCTCGAAAGTAGTTCTGGGATGTGGTCCTTAAGTAGGATGGGAACAACATAACATTAGCACCAGACTGGGCAGGGGGATACATAAATATATCAGCATACAGAGGTGTAGTATACATATTTATATGTGTATATAAATAAGCACAAAACTGCATTGGCGCTTCGCGCCATGCACCTTGGTCCTTGAAGCTTGGTATGCAAGCGGGATGACAGGAGCGCCACACCGGCAATTTGGCGATAACTCCTTGTTGCATTTTTCCGGCATCGCCGTTGTATCGGAGGCGCGCAAACAAGGATTAGCGATCCATGGATTTGGCGCGCGGTCGCCAAATTCATGGATCGGGGGAGGTGCTCTCTTCAAAATGCGGCCAGTGCCGCCTCGCTCGGCGGCGGAAATCCGCGATTTCCCATGGAAACGGGACCCGTCACTAATCCACGCCCCCTTGATCCATGTTTGCGATCGCCTGAGTTGTAATGATGTTACTCGTTATCCTACCCTGCGCAGCATTCTCCCCATCCCCCTCAGCTCTTTTTGCGGATGCTCCTCCTTGGAGAGCCTCTGGGGGCCTCGAAGAAATTGTTCATGCTTTTTTGAGGCCTTCTGGAGGCCTCCTGGGCGTCTTCTGGGGGCCTCTCGGGGCTTCCTCGGGCCACCCTGGTTCTAACTGCGGTCTCCCTGAACGACCGGGTCACGTTTTGGAATGCTTCGGAGGGTGTCTTGGAGGCAACTTGGGCCGTGATGGGGCTCTCTCAGGCCATATTGGAACCCTGTTGTGCCGTCTTGGGGCTCTCTTGGACTTCCTGGAAGCCATTTCGGAAGGTTGCGGCGCGATTTTCGAGCCTCCCAAGCAACTTCGGACGCCCAAAGACTGCCGTCTTGGAGAGTCGGGAAGCCGGAAAAACGGAGAACCCCAAAATTCACCAAAAACCAACAGAAAATTCATGACTTTGGCCTCTTGGGGCCTTCATGGCAGTGCTTTTGGAGGCCCCTCGGGACGTATTGGAGCGATCTTTAGGGGCATGACAGCTTCTTTGGGGTCATCGTGGACCGTCTTGGGGCTCTCTGGGTCGTCTCCGGAGAGCGCCAAAACGCCTGAAGCCCTCTGGGGCCGTCTTCGGGCTCTCGCGGGGTTCTCCCAGGTCGTCTGGAGGGTTGCCCGAGAATCCTGGGGTGGGCCACATTCGTTAGGGGGAGGAAAGCGGTTTCCAGTGTCCCCGGCCCTATAAAACAATATATGGCTAGGAACATGTATACGTGTACCGCGGGCAGAGGCATACGCACACATAGTGTGGAGACAGAGGGAGAGATCACGATAGAGAAAAAGAGAGAGAGAGAGAGTGAGAGAGAGAGAGACCTCTATACACGAAAACAAAAAAGGAAACAACGAAGCAAGCTGGCAACAATACAGTCGGGGCGTTGACCTAAGGAACCCTAAAGAAGGAACGAGGCCCCTTTTTTCCATAAGTTCAACTTCGATTTCCTATCGAGAACATCGGAAAACCTGAGGCAAGATGTGACACACTTCAGGAACGCGGGGCCCCTCCCCAACGAAAAGGGTCCTTCTTCAGGGCCCCGACTGTAATCACCACGCCGCTTGGCGCCTGCTCTTGCACCCTTCCCTCAGCGAGCCTGGTAGCTCCGAGTGCACTGCGAGGCGATGGCGATGCCGTCGATCGTGATGCGCGCGAAGTGGCGCGGGCCCCAGGCGGTGCGGATCACGCCCACCTTGCACGTGGCCCGCCTGCGCGGGAGGCCGCTGCGGGGGAGGGGGTGGCTCTGGGGAGACCCAGGGTACTCCAGATTTCGTGATAAAAGGGAGGGGGTCTCAACCCTCCCAGACGAGAAGTTTTAGACCCCCCCCCCGTGGGAGAACCTTCCAAAACATCGTCCCCAGACCCCCCCAGGCCCTCCAAGATGGCCTGGAAGAGACCCCCCCCGAAATGAGACCCCCCTCCCTTTATTACGAAATCTGGAGTATGTTTGTTGGCCTCGGCGCTCACACCTCGGACGCCGAGCGCGACGATCGGGGATGGACAGACCCCCCTGTAGTAAAACGTGGTGCAGTGGAAACGACCTGAGGCCCAAACCTGGCGGGCGCAAGCCTGGAAAATGACGGCCACGGCGCCCTCTCGAGAACCGAAAACGGGCAATTCACTAATCGACGTGTCACTGTTGGGGGTTCTGTCCGCCCCCGAGACGATGACGACGAGCACGAGCGCCGGCAAGGATGCGACCGTCAAGGGCACCGAGGGACGTGCCGCTGCGGAAGGCCGCGGGGAGAGCGAGGGTCAGAACAGGAGGGCGGCGAGGAGGACGCGGGCCCGAGGAGCTCGACGAAGGCCCGGAGGATGGGGCTGGGACCTCAAGGAGGACGGTGGGAAGTGGGGGGCGATGAGGACAAGGGGCAGGAAGATGAGCACGAGGACGACCCCTTCCCGAGTCCTCGAGTCCTCTTCCCCCCCTCCTCCTTCTCCTCCTCCTCCTCGTCCTCCTCCTCCTCCTCCTCCTCGTCCTCGTCCTCCTCCTCCTCCTCCTATCCCTCCTCCTCCTCCTCCTCCGCCTCCTCCTCCTCCTCCGACGCCTCCTTCTCCACCTCCTCGTCCTCGTCCTCGTCCTCCTCCTCCTCCTCCTGCTCCTCCTGCTCCTCCTCCCCCCTTTTAGCATTGGGGAAACAAGGTCCCGAGGGCAACGGGTCCTGGACACTCTGGGTCCCTCCCCCGGGACGCGATCTTCACCTCGAGTCGTTGCCTGGCGGTCCTGGGGCCCGTGGAAGGCCCAGAGAGCCCGAAAACGGTGAAAAAGCTTCGGGACCAGTGGCCCCTCACCCAGACATCCTGCCACTCCAATCTTGGCCCACTTCCCCAGGTCAGGCTTTTCGTCCCTCACACTTTAATTGAGTGCCCCGAAGCCCGGCGAGGGCCCCAAGAGGCCGAAAACGGCCAAAAGCCAAACGCCAAATCTCTAGATAGTGCGCCTGCACGACGTGGGGGAGGAGCAGGAGCAGGAGGAGGAGGAGAAGGAGGAGGCGGAGGTGGAGGTGGAGAAGGAGCACGAGCAGGAGGAGGAGCACGAGCAGGAGCAGGATTATGATGATGCTGATGATGCTGGTGATGATGATGATGATGATGATGTGATGATGATGATGATGATGAGGAGGAGGAGGAGGAGGACGAGGAGGAGGAGGAGGACGAGGAGGAGGAGGAGGAGGACGAGCGAGGAGGACCAGGAGCAGGAGCAGCGGAAGGAGGAGGGGGAGGATGGGGAGGAGGATGGGGGGCAGGCGGGAAGAGGAAGAGGAGGAACAAGAGGAGGAGAAAGAAGAGGAGAAGGAGGAGGAAAAGGAGGAACAGGAGGAAAACGAGGAGGAGGAGGGGGAAAAGGACGAGGAGGAGGAGGAGGAAGAGGAAGGAGGAGGATGGCGGAAGAGGAGGGGGAGGAGGAGGAGGAGGAGGAGGAGGAGGAGGAGGAGGAGGAGGAGGAAGAGGAGGGGGAGGAGGAAGAGGAGGAGGAGGAGGAGGAGGACCAGTGTAAACCCAAGAGGCGTCAACGATGGTGGAATAAACCCTCCCTCCAAAGCTCCCTGTACATAGGCCCCGACAACGTTTCATTGATTAATTGAAGGAACAGCCTCGTTGGATGACAACGATTTGAAGACCCTGAAGCATGCCAAAACATGATTATCGGGATCCCCACGCCACGGATCAACGGGATTGTTGCGTGTGGACGATCCGGAAGCGAACCAAAACCCCATTCCCGGGACTTGAACACCGCGAATCAACATAACTTGTGCGCCCTCATAAGCCTGAAACCGCCCTAAGCACACATTCAAATACGTTGATCCCGATAATCAATGAAACGATTGTGCATGTCCCAAACGCAACTGTTTAAGACGAGTGTGCGCGGCGCTAAAGCGATAACCACACTTTGAAACATAAGGAACCGACCTCAATCCGTAAAACCCTTGCAGTGTTTTAAGACGAGTGTGCTCGGCGCTAAAGCAAGAGCCACATGTTGAAAACGGCCCGCCCTCAATCCGTGAAGCTCTCGCATTGTTTCAAGACGAACGCGCGCGGCACTAAATTGATAACCGCACGTTGAAAACGACTTGCCCTCGATCCGTGTAGCGCTTGCAAATTTGCAAAACGAATGTGCGTGGCGCCAAGGCGACAGCCACATGTTGATAGCGCCCCGCCCTCCGCGTGCGAAGCTGCTGCCAATTTTCAAGCTTCAAGGTCGCCAACGGCGCGGAAGTCCCAAGCGAAACGCCCGGCCCGCCCAAAAAAACTGGCCTCGGAGCGCGACAGGGGAGGGAGGGAGGAGGAGGGGGGGAGGGGGGGGGGACGAGGGGGGGAGAGGAGGAGGTGGAGGGGGAGGGGCGGGGGAAAGGGGGGAGAGAGAGGGGGGGGGGAGGGGCAGGGCAGGGGAGGTGGTGCAGGAGCGGGAGGGAAGAGGAGGAGGAGAAGCAGGAGGAGGAGGAGGGCGAGGAAGTGGAGGAGGAAGAGGAGGCGGAGGTTGAAGCGGAGACGAGGGGGGGGGCGGCGGAGCAGGAGGAGGAGGAGGAGGAGGAGGAAGAAGAGGAAGAGGAAGAGGAGGTGGAAGTGGGGGGAGGAGAAGACGGAGGGGGAGGGGGAGGGGGAGGGGGAGGGGAAGGAGGAGGAGGAGGAGGAGGAGGAGGAGAAGGAGGAGGAGGAGGAGGGGGAGGAGGAGGAGGAGGAGGAGGAGGATAATAATAACAATCTCGATATCGCGGGCCTCGGAGGTCGAGGGTCGGGCGCCCGCCCATCCCCCTCATCAGATGAGGGGCGCGACCTCGCCGAGGGGCCTCGCGACGTCAAACGCCTCGCCCTCGAGCTCCCCGTCGCCATGGCGACGAGCCTCTTGAACTCCATCCCCTTGGAGTTCACCTCGAACGAATGCTCATCTGGCGTCTGGGGCCTCTCGCCTCCTGCGCAGCCGCTGGTGGGGGGCGGGGTGGCTCTTCCTGTTTATTTCGCCCGGAAACACCACTTGTGCCCCCCGTTCCCATGGGCCCGCTGCAGGAGGCCCCTCTCGAGCACGTGGGTGCCGCGCCGGCGCCACTGTGCTCCTGGCCCTGCAGTTCGGGCCGCGAACGCCGTGGCTCCGCCCGAACTCGGGGCCCGCTCTGTCTGGCGTGCCTCCCCGAGCCCCTCCTGAGTACTCGGCAGGGCGCCTGCTCCATCATCTCCGCGTCTTCGATTCCCTCTTGGGGCTCCCAGGTACCCAGCATCCTCCACGTCGCTGGTTAGGACTATCCGCGAACCTCTCCTCACGTTGGAGGAAGGCCTGAGGCCGCAGTGCCTTCGCATCAAATCAACTGGAACTCCCTTTTCCGCCAACGAGTCGCAGAGCTCCACCAGGACTCTCAGCGAGATCCTTCTCTGGCACTGCTCGAAGTGCTTCTCCTGGTCGTTGGCTGGCTTCTCGCCCGCGCAGAGGCTGCGGCATTGCCTCTTGCGCCAGCGGTGGGGGGAGCGGAGGCTGAATCTTGCGCCCCCTCGAGCCGTCCAACCCCCTCGGCCAGAGGCGCGCCTTGTCCAGGTAAGTGGTCGCGTCGACACCCCCAGCCAGCAGGAACGGGATCCGTAACCTCAGAAGGCGCGCCCCCTGGGGAAGGGACATCATTAAGGGCAGCATCCGCCAGCCCACCTTCGTCAGTCGGCTTCCGCCCTTGGCAAGGAGGTGCCCTGTCGAGGGAGTAGTCGCCCAGGGAGTCCCGCTGTTCCCCGTTGTCATCGCGCTGGCTGCCCATGGGGAGGAGGAGGAGGAGGAGGAGGAGGAGGAGGAGGAGGAGGTGGAGGAGGAAGAGGAGGAGGAGGGGGAGGAGCAGGAGGAGGAGGAGGAGGAGGAGGAGGAGAAGGAGGAGGAGGAGGCTTCCCCCACGACAACCCCGCGGGGCCTCTCTCGCGCCGTCTGGTCGCCTGCGCCAGACTTGCCGTGGCACGCGCGGCTGCTGCCGCCACGGCGGCAGGCCCTGAGCGCAACGGCCCGCCCGCGCGGGGGAGGGGCAAGAAGCCGCCCCCCGCCATCGGAGCCTGTGGGGAAAAACACACACACAAACTGTGGGACACACACACACACACACACACACACACACACACACACACACACACACGCACGCACACACACACACACACACACACACACACACACACACACACACACACACACACACACACACACACACACACACAAAACACAAAACACGCAACAAAGAAACACACACCACAAAACACACACAGTGTGTGTTTGTGTGTGTGTCTGTTCCCACAGACTGTGTTTTTGTGCGTTTTGTGGGGAGCCCCTCTCGCGGCAGGCCCACGTTTTCTCTTCGGCGTTTCGACGTTGGGCGGAAGGGGGGGGAGGGGGTGGTCTGGCTCCGGACCTCTGCTTAGTGCGACTGTTTGCCGCAGCGCGTGCTGTGGGGGAGGCTGCCCCTGCTCGAAACAGGCGCCAAGAGCAGCCGATATCTACTCTTAAGCCGGGCCTGTCCCCCTACAGGGGGATCGTCGACGAAATATAAAAAAGACCCCAAAAATAATCAAGAACTAATCAAAACATAGTCCGGAGACTATTTTCGTGAGTATGTTGTGGCCTTGTTGGGGCATGTGTGGGGGGTATTTCTAATTCATCGTCGAAAATATCCCTGTAGCGGGACACGCCCGACATAAATCTACTCCATGGAGGAAGGGGGTGGGGTGGCGAGGGCCCGCGCCGATCGGCAAAACACGGAACCAAAATCACGACCACCAGGCGAGGGCGGCTGGCTTCCCTCCACCCCGCTGCGCCCCCCCTGCCCCCCCCCATGCATCGATTCCCTTTGCTGCATCCATATTTTCAATCTGGGACCCTGCCAACCCGCCTCCCCCCCTGAACGGGACCCTCCCGATCCCAATTCCACCATTCAATCCTCCCGAACAGGGATGCTAAAATGGAGGGGGCGAAGGGGGGGCGGTACTTTCTTCTCGCCCGCGCGCGGTGATGTTCCCTTTGCTATACCCATACTTTCACCATCTGGGACCCTGCGACCCCCCCTTCCCATCTGAACGGGACCCTCCGGATTCCCAGAGATCCGATGTCGTGATGTGTTCACTTCGGGGTCCCCGGAAGGGTCGACCTATTCCCCAGGACCCCCTCCCCTTCCTATTTATGGTGGTAGTGGTGGAAAACAAGCCCACCAGTCCAGCCATGTCCAAGAACATTTGAAATATCGTGCCGCAGTCCAGTCAAGCCTGTTACCTGTCCCTCACCCTCCCCTCTCGTCTATCTTTCTCTTCCTGGACTCCCTTCCCTCCCCTCCCCTCACCCTCACCTTGTCTCCCCCATCCCTTTCCCTGTCCCTCTCTAACGCCCCTCTCCTCACCCCATTCCTTTCCACCCCCGTCTCCCCTCCTTTCACACTCCCCGATCCCCCCAGCCTCTGCACCACTCGAGATGATGTCTTTATTGCACAACACAGATCGCACATTGCGCAACATAGATGGCACACCATAGATCGCCTCACATAGGCCGCACCACGAAGAGTTCATCGCAAATGCTGCACCACATCGATTGCACCACATGTATCGCTCTAGAAACACACTGTTTGGGGTCCACGCTGGCTATCATTCCATGATCGCGAATCGGAGGAAACCGGACTATTTCAGCAGAGTGGTGATTCGGAGAACCCCCCACCACCAAGAAGGCGAATAAGGAGGAGGAGAAAAAGGAGGATGAAGAGCAGAAGGGAGGACGGACAATGATGTGAGATCTGTGTGGTGCAATCTATGAGGTACGATCTATGTTGTGCAATCCACTCTGCTGAACTTGAAATCGTCATTTTCACTGCTCGCGTAAACATTTTCACTCACTTACCCGCAACTTGGTTTGCAAAACCTGTTAAGACCGACTACGACGACACCGACGACAACGACTAGGACGACGCCGACGACGTCTCCGACGACTTCGACGACGACAACGACGCCGACGCCGACGACGACGACGACGCCAACGAAGGCGACGACGAGGGAGGAGGAAGGACGACGACGAAACGCGACAACGACGACAACGACGAGGGAGGAGGGAGGACGGCGACGACGCGAACGACGACGAAGGAGGAAGGACGGCGACGCCGACGACGACAACGACGAGGGAGGAGGGAAGACGACGACGACAACGACGACGACGACGGCGACGAAATAGGAGGGAAGACGACGAGACGCCGACGACGGACGACGACGACGACGTGGGAGGAGGAGGAAAAACGACCACGGCGACAACAACGACGGAAACGACCACGACGCCAAAGAGGACGACGACGACGAACACGAGAAAAAACAGAGGACGACGTAGGCGACGACGACGACGACGACGACGACGCGGGAGGAGGGAGGACGGCGACGACGACGACGACGACGACGCAAGAGCGCGCGCGCGCACGCTTTTGTTGAAAATCCGTGTTGCGAAACCTTGGGTGTTTGTAGGTTTTTTGGGCGCACGATTTTGAAATCCTTCCGAAACCGATGGGTTTTCGGCATACGCCCGCGACGACGCGCGCGTCTGCACTTCGTCCCATTTTTTACAAAAGATTCTCGCGACGGCACACGCGCAAGGGCGTTCGACAGATTTCGACATGCGCTCGCACGAAGCCCGTTTGGTAGCATTTTGTGAAAATCTTGAAAAACCTATGGGTTTCGTAAGATTTCGCAAGAGCTCGCGCGGAAGCTGTTTTAGCAAATCAGTGTTGCGAAACCATGTGTGTTTTGTATGTGTTTTGGAACTCGATTGCGAAATCCCTCCCGCACCGAAGGTTTTTGAAGGATTTCGCCATGCGCGCGCGCGACGACGCTCGCGTGTGCACTTCGTCCCGTTTTTTGCAAGGAAACAGTGCTATGTTACAACAACAAATGTCACCGCATAGTGCTTTTTTACAAGGGAACCTCAGGGGGGAAACCGGCCTAGCTGGGATGATACGATTTCATATTTAGGATAGACGAGTGTGCAATATACACACACATATATATATATATATATATATATATCTATAGATATGAAATGATACTATCCCGGGGGGAACCGATAAGTCCGGGGGGGGGAAAGTCGATTTATTCTCTTTTTAGAAAAAAAAGCGGTGCAATTCTCACGGCGGCGACGAGTGACGACGAGGCGGCGGCGGGGCGGCGACGGCGACACCGTGGCCGCCAGATAGGCCCAAACAGCGGGCGGCGACGATGCGGCGACGGGGCGACGACGGCAACGACATGGCCGCAGGACCAAGACGCAGGCCCAAACGACTGGCGGCGACGGGGCCGCGACGGCGGCGACATTGCCGCCGGACCAACATGCATGCCCAGTAGCTTCGAACACAATGAAGAAAACCCCGAAGCGCAAACACAATTTGGGGAAGACGGGGAAACGCGTAATCAGAAAGTTTCGGAGCTCCGCTCTGATTTTGAATCGAGGCTGGGCCCTCCTCCTTAGTGCGTGGAGCGCGCTAGGGGCGGCACCCGAGGTCAGCGCCGATCCGAGAAATCCGCGCGGGCCTCCCAGTTCTTGTTTATGCAGATACAGTCGAGGCGTTGACCAAAGGAACCCTAAATAAGGAACGAGGCCCCTATTTTCCATAAGTTGAACTTCGATTTCGCATCGAAAACCTAAGGACAATCCAAGGCAAGCTGCGAAACAATTAAGGAACACGGAGCCCCTCCCCAACGATAAGGGTTCCTTCTTCAGGGCCCCGACTGTATCATTATTATCTGGAACTCGAAACCAGATATCCGCCCAGTCGGCTCACAATTCGCCAGCCCATCTGCATCGCCTGGACATATCTGGTAGTCGAATCCAAACTGGCACCAATCTGGCAAGTCCAACCTGGCAATCTGGCGAGGGAGTCAATATGATCCAATCTGGCGAGAGCCAACCTGGCGCCAATTTGGCAATCTGGTAAATGGCCCATCATCAGATATATCATGTGAGGGGCAATCTGGCATACGACCCAACCTGGCGAATGCTGAAGCAAAAATTTTGGCGCACCCCATTGGGGGGGAAAACGCTCAATCTGGCGAACATTCCAATCTGGCAGTCTGGCCCTGAAGCCAACCTGGCCAACCTGGCGAAGTGTCCAACCTGGCAATCTGGAACAACATTCAACCTGGCTGTCCTCTCAAGCCAATCTGGCGGGCACGTCAATCTGGCGGGCAATCTGTTGTCCAATCTGAAAAAAAGCGTTGCAATATGATCCAGGCTGCCGTACGAACCACATCCTATGATATTCGTACTCTGTGATCCACGCGCTTCCCCCCTACGGTCCCCTCTGTGATCCACGCGCTTCACCGATGGAGTCCCAAGGGGGTCCTTAGGGGGAATCCTTCGGGGATCCTTAGACATCGTTAAGGGATCGTTAGAAATTCCGAGAGTGTCCTTAGGAATCCGAGGGCTTCCTTAGGAATCCTTGGGGGCATCCTTGTGAATCCCTATGGGATCCGTCGGAACCCTTGGGGAATCCTGTGGGAATCGTTAGGGAATCCCGAGGGGGACCTCAGGAGATCCTTCGGGATCCCTAGGGCATCCTGAGGACACCTTCGGGAACCCGATGGAATCCCTAGAAAACCCCTGAGGGGGAGGACGGGAATCCTTAGGAATCCCAGGGGGATCCCGAGGGAATCCCTAGGGAATCCTGGATACCCGATGGAATCTCAAGGGGGTCCTTAGAAATCCATGGGGCATCCTTAGGAACCCGTAGGGAACCCTTAGAAATCCTGAGGGGATCCTTAGGACCCCTTGTGGATCCCTGGGGAACCCTTCGGAAGTCCTGAGAAACCCTGCAGGAATCTTAGAAAGCCCTAGTGGATCCTGAGGAATTATGAAGGACTTCGTGGGAATCCTCAGGGCGTCCTAGGCGGCCACCCTTAGGAATCCTCAGGGAGACCCCAGGGAATCCATAGGGGAACCACCACCACCACCACCACCACCACCACCACCACCACCATCACAACACACACACACAACACACCACACCACACCACACCACACCACACCACACCACACCACACCACACCACACCACACCACACCACACCACACAATGAAACTCACCTATACATCCTTTTGGGGATCTACTGACCCGGGCCAATCCAGATCCGGGTCAAACAGGCTTTCCAAGATCCTGCAGGATCCGGCACCCGAGCCCGGGTCAGTGCACCCCTGGTTCTGCAGGATCCTGTCTGACCCCCGTGTGCATTGACCCCCGTTTTTTTCGGGCTGGGCGAAAGGGGGGGATAGCAAAGGGGGGGTTGAGAATCAGCTCACGTAGCTGACTTTCCCGGCGCCTCCCGGCGCCGGAGGCGGCCAGGTATCGAGGAATGGGCCCATCGCTGGGGCCGAAACCAGCTGCACGCAGCAGATTTCGTAACCCCCCCCCTTTCCCAATCCCCCCCGTTCGCCCGACCCGATTTTTTCATGACGTCGACCCCCAGAGGTCTGGACCCATTCCCCAGGACCGGTTTTTCGTCCCGAGTCGTTTTTTGGCGCTCCCGAGGGCCGGTTAGGGCCCCCGGAGGCCAAAAATCATGAAGAACCTCCCGTCGAGATTTTTCCACGACTCGAGGGGGTCTGGGCCCGATCTTGAACCCGATCCTTTCTGCTCCTGCTCCGCCTCGCCCGCCCGCTGCCTTCGCCTTCCCTATAGGCACGCACCGGCCCGCAAAATGCGCAGCGCGCCGCCCGCCTCCTCCCAGCGGCGGGCCCAGCCGCTGCCGCGCCGGGCTCCGCCTGTCCACAGCCCGGCAGGCGGAGGGCGACGGGCCATCGCTCGGACGTCCATTCCCTGTGCTTTTTTCGGTGTCGTGCGTGGCTTTTTCGCCAAATGATCAAGGATGCGCCTCGATGGTCCTCGCCGAAGGAAAAAGGCACACGTCCGAGCGGTGCCAAGCAGAGGGAGAGGAGAGGGAGGAGCTGGCACGGGCGCTCGGCCACAGCTCTTTACGTGCGTACGCAAGACCCACCTGAACTGCACATCAAGGGAGCAGGGCGGCACAGCTTGAAGGGGCCCTGGGACACACACACACACACATAAATACACAAATAAAAAAATCCCCCAATCGTTTCCCATATGTTCTGGGTTTATGTCTTCCCCCCCACTGCCCATGTTCTCCCATATTTTCTGGGAGTCGACGATTCATTGTGTCCGAGTGTTTTTCTCCTCCTGACAACTCCCCAGGCATCTGACGTGTAGATGCCGTTTTCGGGGCACGGCCCGGAAAACAGCACCCATCCAAGTTGGCCGCAGAACCTACCCAGCACGCACTCAAAAGAGGGGGGTGGACCAGTAGACTCGTGCCCACCCCATGGGGGGAGGGAACAACACTGGGACGATAGCGGAACAAAACACGGCATAAACATAAACTGTTGACGGTCCGCGCAAATGTCTTGGATTTGCGCTGGGACCCCCTCCCTGGCGTGCGTAGCGCGCTAGGGGCGGCGCTGGAGGCGCCGCTGGGGGGGTCACAACGAGGATCCAAGATCTGCGCGGAGGGGGAGGAGGAGGAGGAGGAGGAGGAGGAGGAGGAGGAGGAGGAGGAGGAGGAAGGGAGGTCCGCCAGCGAAGGACCAGTACCGTGTAGCTGATCCCCATCCCCATTCCGGAGAACAGAAGAGACACACACATAAACGAGGATCCGCGCGGAACGCCAACACTTTATGTTTAAGCAGTTTCGTCTTTCTTCGAGCTAGGCGTGCCGCGGCCGAGTGTCCTCTCCGCGTGCCATCTCGCCCTCACCCTCCTCCTCCTCCTCCACCTCCTCCTCCTCCCCCCCTCCTCCAACTCTCTCCTCCTCCTCCTCCTCCTCTCCTCCTCCAACTCCGTCCTCCTCTCCTCCCCTCCTCCTCCTCCTTCCCCTCCCCCTCCCCCTCTTTCCTCCTCCTGCCTCTCATCTACTCTTCCTCGTCGTCGTCCTCCTCCTCCTCCGCCTCCCTCCTCCTCCTCCTCCTCCTCCTCCCTCCCCCTCCCCTCCCCCTCCCCTCCTTCTCCTCCTCCTCCTCCACCTCCCTCCTCCTCCTCCTCCTCCTCCACCTCCTCCTCCTCCTCCTCCTCCTCCTCCTCCTCCTCCTCCTCCTCCTCCTCCTCCCCCTCCAGCGCCGAAGGGTTATGCTCATCTCATGCCGCCTTGTTGTTCGTCCTCTCCTGCGAGGCGAGGCGGGGGGGAGGGTGGAGGATCGGGGCCTGCGGGTGCGGCAGGCTCGTGCCGTGCCGACTGCGGCGCCGGTCTCTGCCACCGCGCCGGATCGTTCCACCTCGAACGGTCGGCCGTCTCCGAAGCTTCAGCTTCAAGTCGGGCCTGTCCCCCTACAGGGGGGATTTTCGACGAAAAAAAAACATACTCAAAACATGCTCACCAAAAGGCCCAAAAATATATGAAAAATGGTCCCCAGACCATGTTTTGACTATTTTTGAATACTCCCCCTGTCGAGGGACAGGCCCGACTTAACTTTAGCTCGTTCAACATCGACCCACTCTGGGTCGCAGGCGGCGTTCAACCTTGAGCGCCGGCGGAGGGGTCGCCGCTGGTCGACACGGCGAGGAGCTGCCGCAGGCTGACAGCCCCCCCTTGAATCCGCTGAGGGGGTTGGGCACGTGCTGTCGGCACGGGTGGAGGGGGGTGGTTGGAGGAGGAGGAGGAAGAGGAGGAAGAGAAGGAGGAGGAGGAGGAGGAGGAGGAGGAGGAGGAGGAGGAGGGTAGGAGGGGAGGAGGAGAGGAGGAGGAGGAGGAGGAGGAGGAGCAGGAGGAGGAGGAGGAGGAGGAGGAGGGGAGAGGGGAGGGAGGGGGAGGGGAAGGAAGAGGAAGAGGGGACGAGGAGGAGGAGGAGAAGAGGCGGAGAGTTGGAGAGAGGAGGGAGGAGGAGAGAGGAGAGGAGAGGAGGAGGAAGAGGAGGAGGAGGGGGGGGAGGATGGGCAAGCTCCGTCGGAAGGTTAGGCTCCCACCCCTCCACGAATATCCTACCCCAGAGCAGGCCGATAGCCCCCCCCCCGACACCCCCAAAAAACCAGCCCCGGGACAGGAGGCCCTCGCCGCACCCACCCCACCCCTGATTACCGGCCCGTGCCGCCCCCCTCTCTCGCGTTCCCGGGGGGGGGGGGGCGGGCGACGATGCCCGGGGGGGAGAGAGAGGGAGAGGGAGAGGGAGACAGAGAGAAAGAGAACGAGAGAGATAAAGAGAACGAGAGAGAGAGAGAGAGATAATGAGAGAGAGAGAGAATCAGAGGGGGAGAGAGAGAGAGAGAGAGAGAGAGAGAGTGAGGCGGAGCCAGGACGAGGATGACATCGGGTGGGGATGCATCGAGGATCTCTGTGATCCGGCGACAGAGCACAGCCGCGCAGCTGCTCTTGTTCAAGGCCAGAGCTGACGCATGCGCTAAGAAGGTCATTTCAGATGTGCGGTCAGCCAACGCCAGCTCCTGGAAGGATTGGGTCGACAAGGCCCTTGACAAAGGGGCCAAGGCTGCGCACAAGTTCATTAAGGAGCGCACCAAATGGGAGCCCGACACTGTGGTCATTGAGGGTAAGCTCACCGCCTCCGTGCAGAGTACCCTGGACACCTACCAAGCCAAGTTCGGGAAATTCTGGGAGCCCTCGGCCGAGCCCCTCCACAGGGACAACGTCCTCCACGAGCCCATCGGGATCCCCTCAGTGGAAGCTCTCAAGGACCTCTCCAAGAGTTACCCCAAGTCCTCCGCCGTTTCTCTCGATGGGTTCCACATGAGGCATCTCAGTATGTTAACGGACGAGGCCCTAGAGGCCTTCGCCAAACTCATCTACGTCTCCGAGGTGCTTGGGGAGCTGCCTGGGCAGCTCCAGTGGGTCCTGGTGGCCCTCCTCCGCAAAGTCACAGGCGGCTACAGGCCCATCGGCATCTTTCCCATGATGTACAGAATCACAGGCAAGCTGCGCCTCCATTTCGCCCAGGACTGGATTGCCAAGCACGATCACTCTTGGTTTGCCTGCGGCGCAGGCAGATCACCAGTCGACGTGGTATGGCGGCAGAGTCTCAGAGCTGAAGGGGCCGTCTCAGGAGGTGGGGCTTCTGCGGGCGTCCTCTGGGATATGGAGGCTTTCTTCGAGCGCTTCAAGAGAAGCAAATTGCGGGCCCGAGCGCTCGCTTTAGGTTTTCCTGAGACTCTGCTAGCATATCATCTCGCAGGGTACGGCTCTTGGAGACACATAGCGTGGAAGCGCTGTGTGGCCCAGCCTATTGCGGCCGCCAACGGCATAGTGGCAGGCTGCTCTTTCTGCATACTTTATGTCAGGATTTACTGTTTTGACGCCTTCCTGCGAATCACGTCGCTGCACGCGGCCGTCTATTTCGATTTCTATTTGGATGACCTGACCATCACCTGTCACGGCACCACGGTCAGGGTGCTCAAGCGTGTTGTCAGTGCCGCCAAGGAGCTTGCCCGACTCATCGAGATTGATTTAGAAGCCAGGATTGCGGTTCACAAAGGAGCCGTCGTTGCGTCGTCGGTGTCGTTAGCCAGGCTTCTCACCAGTGCCCTCGGGACTTCTGGGGGCAAGCTCCAAGCGGTCGCCACTAACTTAGGTTGTGATTTTACGGCGGGCAAGTCTTTCGGCTGCAATGGCGCTGCTGCTAAGCGCAGGGTCAGGCTCAGGACCGCGACGGTCAGAGGGCAACGCCTGCGTAAGCTTACCGCGACCGCGGGTCAACGATGTCGCAAGATTGTTACCACTGGGCTCCTTCCTGCTGGGGCTTTCGGGGCCGCCGTCGACGGGCTCAGCAACAAGTCCTTGTATAGGCTTCAATCTCTTGAGATTGCCCAGATCACTCCGTGTTCCTCTAAGAAATCCAGAAGCGCCGCCTTCGCCCTCACGGGGTCCAGGGCCGACCGCTGGGCCCTCGGGCCCGTCCTCAGGTGGGCCCAGGAAGTTTGGAACACTACGCTCGGCAAGTATGTGACCCCAGGGACCATAGGACTGCTCGAGCTAAAGGAGATTTATAACCACGTGCAGCCAGCAGGACATTTGAGTTATAACGCCGTGCGAGGACCACTCAGCGCGGCAGCTCACGCGCTTCAACGTATTGGCTGGAGTTTCACATCAGCGTTTACGCTGCAGGACCACCTTGGCAGGACGGTCAGGCTCACTGACACCTCGCCGAGCCTGCTTTCCGACTTGCTTCACCAAGGATGCCAGAGGAGATGGGAAACCATAGCCGCTAAGAGCATACCCAGCCCAACCCCCATGAAGCGAGTGTGTTTTGACATTGCGCGTTCCCTGCTTTCCCCCAAAAGCAAGAAGTTACCCCCCAGGTTTAAGGCTATCCTCCAAACCCTTGTGGTCCAGGGTTGGTGGACCGAGGAGAAACTCGCTAATATAGGCTATGATGTGCCCAATGAGTGCCCACTCTGTAAAGCCTTCGGGGACACCATTCACCACCGTCTTTTCTCTTGTCAGCATCCAGAGGTAGTCGCCCTCAGGACAGAGCTGCTGCCGCCAGACGTTCTGCAGGCCGCGCTGGAGGCGCCAGAGAACAGCCCCCTGTACTGCTTCGGTCTTTTCGAGCATCCAGGGGAGCAGCACGATGATTTTCCGCTGCCCAGGGAGAAGCCCATCGTTCGATTTGTCAGACACGACGGACAGCCAGACACGGTACCGCACTTTGGGGGGCTCACGGGAACCGACGGGTCGTGCACCAAGACAGGCATTGCGGAGTTAGACAGAGCGACGTTTTCGGCAGTGGCTTACAGTACCGACGGGGCCCCAGAGGCCTCCTTTTATGGCGCTGTTGCTGCCAACCTCCCCCAGACTTCTCAGGCTGGGGAGCACATGGGCTTCCTGGTGCTCCAGGAAGCCCTCACCAAACCTTCCAAGGTCTGGGTGGACTGCAAAGCGGTCCTTGATCAGCACACGCTAGGCCACTGCCGACACGTCTCAGCAGTAAGCTAAAGTACTCAGGCCTGCACAAGCTAGCGCTTGCGCGGGACAGCAGACACCTCCTCGAGACGGCCTCCAAGGTCAAGAGCCATCAGAATGTGAACTCATTGGCTGGTGAGGCCAGACTCGCTGCCGAGATCAACACAGCAGCGGACAAGATGGCGAAGGCAGCAATGGACTGCCACCCAAGTTTCAACCCGACAGCGCTGCAGGAGTTGCAGCGCAAGATAGAGGCCGCTCGAGCGATTGGTTTATACGCGCCCAGAATTCTCGCCCTTTGCCAGCGCAATAGGCACAAATGTGAGAGAGCCGCTCTGCCCTGTAAGGTTCAGGCCACCATCGTCGTGCACGACTGGGAGGTTCTTCAGGGGCCGATACCGTACAGGTGCAGAGCATGTTTTACGTACGCCCGATCTTATAAGGCAGCCGTAGCACGTGAGAGACAAGCATGCCAGCCTCTGGCTAGCGCATTCAGGCGCGGCCTTGAAGGCATCCACGCCAGCCACCAGATGGCAATAGCGCATTTTGCCGTGCCAGTTGTCTTTTGCTTAGTTTGTGGGCGCTACGCCCAGTATGCTTTCAGAGGCTTGCCAGCCACGTGTCCTGGACGCCCTCCCAAGAGTGGCGGACGTGCGAACATCAGAAATCGTCTTCTGGCTGGCAAGCATCCAAGGTTTTCAGATTTTGCTTCAGAGTCCGAGCGGTACAACACCGCAGAAATTCAAAGGCAGCAGCGGGCGCAGCGTGAACTCACAGCAGCGCGCGCTGCGATGCCACTCCCGAGTCAGCCGCACCCACGCTCGGAGCCTCGCCCACAGAGGTTCGAGGCTGGTCGAGGGCGCCAGCAGCTTTCCAGCAGGCGCCCAGAGGAGGATGGGGAACTCATCCCTCCTGTGGGTTTCGGCGAGGACGACTCGGGATCCTCGGACTAGGCCCCCGTCCAAGGCCCACCGCCACCTCGGCGGTGCTGCGCGCTTGTGAGGGGCCACCCGCCCGACGGTCTTTGCCCTGGGTCTCCGCCACTGGCACGCCCAGGCACCGTCGGGCCACCCCACCTGGAGGGTGACTGGCCAGAGCTGCTTGCGTATGGCCCGAGTATGGAAAAAAAATAACATCGGGCGAGGACACATCGCGGATCTCGGATATCCAGCGGCTCTGGAGGATGTCCCCGGCGCCGCGGCCTTCTCAAAGCGTTCCGCAACGCTCTGGCGTTCCAGAACGTGCTGGAAATGAATCGATCCTCGTCCTAGATCCGTCCGAGACAGGCAGCAGGTGGGGGGAGTCGGGGGCGGCAAAGAGGGGGGGCGTCCAAGGGGAGGGGCGCAAATCATACCCAGCGGCATGTGCGCGGCCCAGGGGGGGGTGCCAGGGACGTATTGAACTGAGAAGACGCGCCATGAAATCCCGGAAGATCTCATGGCCTACGCCATGATATCCACACACCCCGAGTCATCAGCCCCCTATTATCCTCCCCCGAGGGAAGGGAAAGAGAGGGGGGGCCCGGAACGCGGAAGAAAGAGGGAGCAGGAGGGAACGGGGGGAGTCCATCCTCGATAGGGGTGCGTCCGAATAGCCCCCTTGGGGTGTATCCCGAGGTTCCCCTTCTTTTCTGAGCGGCTTCATTCTCAATCGAAAGGTCGGGGGTTGGGGAACAAATCGCCTGTGAGTGGGTGGGGGGGCGGGAATGCGAAGGAGGGGGGAGCAGATGGAACCGGGGGGCGGGCGGGCGACGCGGGACGAGCCAGAGGGGCCTGGAGGCCGTGTTCCACGTCCCCCCCCATAAGTCCAAGTCTCGTAGAGGGCTTAACGACTTCTGCCGTCCTTCAATTTGCGCTGGAACGGCAGCGATTTGCCCCAACATTTCCCAAGACATCTCTGGATTTCTTTGGATGTACCTGGGTTTGCCCGCGTTTACCTGGATTGACCTTGATTTTCTGCCTCAACCTCGATTCATCCGGCTTGACTACAAGCCGATTGGCGGAAATCGTCAAACCTTTGGGGACAATCCCCCTCTCTTGCTCCCCCGCCTTCCTCATCCATCCTTCCTCCTCGTGCTAAACACTGCTGGTCAACAACCGCTCAGCGAACTCATCGACGAACGACAGGTGATATTCCCTGGACAGCTCGCGAGGAAAGCGGGCAGCGACCCAGTGAGGCGATCGGTATGTGAAATAAGCAGGCAATATCCGCTCCCAAACAAGCGATATGTTATGAGATGTCCCTGGAGAAGAGAGGATGTCTGCCGGGAGGGCGGTGTGGTGCTGACATGGGGTTAAGTTGTCCGCACAGGGCAACTCTGACCTTTGTGTTGTATCAGATTATCTGACTTGCTCACCGTCGAGTGCCTGGTGCAAGGAGACGGACCTTCTTTGACCTTCGCCGAGACCATCACTGGCGACTCGAGGCAAATGGAAGGGGATTCATTTGAGTGGCCGCCCTTCGCTTCCAATTGCACATGGCCGCCAACACTTACCAGGATTGGGTCGAAGGGCCTGGGCCACATTGGAAACGCATCGCATCCAGTTCGTCAAATACTGCTGCGCGCGGATTTGCGAACACGACTCTGTCAGTCAACGCAAAGCCATCGGAACACGCTTCCTCCCAGCGAGGGGGACGAGTGGGCCTCTGCACGAGCGACGGTCTCGGGTTTCGCGCGGGGTGCAGCTCTTCTAGCCCCGCGCCATGTCGGGGGCCGCTTGCAAGTATCGGGAACAAACAGAGTTGCGCGCGCGCTCCAACTCCTGTTCAGGGAGCACATGGACGACGAAAAAAATGCCTTGTGCGAGATGACGCAGCGACCTTGCGCGGCGGCTCACGCGGGTCGCCGGCGCGGCACGCCACGTTGGAGACGAATCTCCTTCCGAGCTCTTCTCAATATCACGAATATGTCATCCTCCGAGCGAATGTACACGTCGATGCCCATAGCTTGCAACACTGCCGGCCTTTAACGGGAATACCTTCGCGCATGCATTGATGTGTTACGGATGTGATGCTATCCGTTCATATCCTGTCCTCGACTTGCCGCATGCCCACCCTGTAGCCTTGAGGGCAAATGTTCTCGCGCGTGTGCTCTTCGCCTTACGTCTTCCCCATGCGGCATGCAGATCGAATATGTTCATGTCGTTGTACTAGGCTGCCTGGACTAAAACAGTAGTTGATCCTGACAGACGCTGTGATCTAATGATCAGGCTCCGTGCAAAGCAAAGAGGAACTCTGCAATCCCGCTGGTGTAAAGCCAGCCCACCTTCATCAAGCAGATCAGAGCTTCGCGTAGTCCTGGGCGCCGCTCTGCACTATCAGCGTTTCAACGCCTAGAGCCTCAACATCGCAGAGAGATGGAAGGGTGGATGACATGCTCCGCATGGGATGCAGAACTACTATACAAAACTATTCTGCATGTGTTTGGGCACGGACTCGCGATTCATGACAAAATGATCACCAGCTGGCTCGTATTGACGCTCAACGGCTTCACGACGGATTCATTCTTGCCATCTCCTATAGCGTTCACGCTTGAAGAACTCAAAACTGCCTGTTGTGTGCTTGCGTCGCACACATGATTCGTACCTCGCTCACACCTGTTCAACGGTTGAGTCATCACAACAATTCATCGACGCTCGACTTAATATCAACTCGCAACTGGGCTCGCCACTAATGTACTCAAAAACCAGGGGTGGTACTTCCCACAACGACGCTCGAAGGCCACAATTATCACGGAAAGCACACCACGTGCTGTCGGGCCAGCTCCGACCCGTGGCCTTGGACGCGCGGGTCCAGACCACACCTGGCCCATCGCACCCGAAGTTGCCCATTTTTAAGGGGCCCTGAGAAACACAGATAAATAGGCACAAATAACAGAATTCCCCATATTTCCCCATATTTCCTGGGTTTTCGTCTTCCCCCCCACTTCCCATATTTCCCCACATGTTCCTGGGAGTCGACGATTCACTGTGTCTGTGTGTTCGTTCCCCCCCTGACATTCTTCTAGTTCGTAGTTTCCGAGGGAAATGATGGGGCCGGTTCTGCCCGCTTGCGCTTCGCCACGACTTCCTGGCCCAGCCCCTGGTCTTGGATGCTCGTTCTGGGGACCTTCCTGGAGCCACTCGCTTTGGGTCGACCCTGAGTCGAACCTGAGTCGACCCTGAGTCGAACCTGAGTCGAACTTGAGTCGAACTTGAGTCGAATTTGAGTCGAACTGGGGTCGAACAGATCCGTTCGGTGGGCTCCAGGAAGGTCCCCGAAACGAGCATCGAACTGGTCTGTCCTCCCTCGGCTGCGCGTCCCACCTGGGAAGTGCTCCGTGGCCGGCGCCAATCCGGGCTGGACCTGAACGGTGTGTTCCGTGTTCCTTTTGTTTTCGCTGTTCCTCGTGTTGTCTTGAACTCGCCTTTGCTGCAGAACGATATCGAAACGAAAACGGCCCACAACATCGCCAGAACACCGTTTAGGTCCACCCCTGGTGCTGATTCCCACCCCTTAGGCATCCGAAGGATCCGTGATAGGCCTGGTTCAACCAACGCACTGTTCGGTACCACCAGATGTGATCTGGGAAAACACTGGAACCGATTGATGCAGGACTACTCCAACTGCAAGAGAGTGCTGGACAAGATCTACATGGGGCAGACAATAATCCGAGAAACCTCGAGGCCAAAACTATGCGAATTCTGGACGGGAAAATCGACTGGCCACATCGACGCGCAAACGGAGAGCCCGACTCAGGGCTTCTCATCGACCACCGCCGGCCTTGAGAACCCGATGCGGGCAAGGTTTCTATCCATATCCACTGCGTCTTGGATATTCTGGGAAGGGGCGCCAGCAAGCGGAGGCGCAGGGGATGAAGCCAAACATCCAGCCACCAGATTGTCATCCATACCCACTGCGCCGCTGGTCTCTAGTGAAGGGGCCCTGGGGCACACAAATAAACAAGTGGCACGCGCGCCATGGCTCTTGCACAGAAGGGACGGTAAGGAGAAGGAGGTGAAGGAAGAGGGCGGGGAAGGGATACGGGGTGCGAGAAATCGGAAAAGGAGGGCCCAACGAGGGCCGCAAGATGGGCTTGACAGGGCGAGCTCGAGGAGGCCCCGCGAGAGGTCATCCAAGATTTCCAACATGCTCCCAGGAGGCCTCCAAGAAGCACCAACAAAAATCTACAGAGGATCCGAAGAACTCCCTGGGGGCCCGAAACGGAGGCGGAGGGGTCGGGGATGGACAGACCCCCCTTTAGTAAAACGTGGTTTCGTGAAAAACGACCTGAGGCCCAAACCTGGCGGGCGCAAGCATGGAACATAACGGCCACGGCGCTTTCTCGAGAACCGAGAACGGACAATTCACGAATCGACGTGTCACTGTTGGGGGTTCTGTCCACCTCCGAGTGAAGGGGCGGGCGGGGGTTACACGGGGCCGCCGGGGAAGATGGAGACAATGGAGCAGCGGAGGGGGCGGGGCGCTCCGTGCGACACGGATTTAAAGTGGTCGGGGCACGGGGGGGGCGCTGAGCTGGGCGGGCGTTCCACTGGGCCACTGGGGAACGCCGGGGCGAAAAGGGATGGTCGGGTCGGGCGAAAGGGGGGGATAGCAAAGGGGGGGGGTTTCAGGATCAGCTCGCGTAGCTGATTTTCCCGGCGCCTCCCGGCGCCGGGGGCGGCCATGTATCGAGGAATGGGCCCATCGGTGAGGCCGCAACCAGCCGCATGCAGCAAATTTCGTAAACCCCCTTTTCCCAATCCCCCCCTTTCGTCCGGCCCGAGATGGGGGGCGGGAAGGAGGGGCGCGGTGCGACGCGGAATATAATGATCGGTGCGGAGGGGGCACTTGGCGGAGGTTCCACTGGGTCGCTGGGGAACGCTGGGGCGGGGGAGAAGGTGGCGGGGGGAGGAAAAGGGGTGCGGCGGGGCAGAGCGCGACGTGACGCGGAACAACATGGTGGGGGTGGAGGGGTGGGGGTACTGGCCGGGGGTTCCACTGGGCCGCTGGGGAACGCTGGGGCGGGGGGAGAAGGGGGAAAGGTGCGGCGGACCGCTGGGGGGGGGTGGAGGGGGAGGGCGCGGTGCGCGCGGAATAAAACTGTCGGGGCTGAGGGGGCACTTGACGAGGGTTCCACTTGGGCCGCTGGGGAACGGTGGTCGCAAGGGCGAGGGGGGCGGGGAAAGGGGGCGCGCGGTGCGACGCGGAATAAACATGTCGGGGAGCAAGGGGCGCCGGCGGCAGTTCCACTGGGCCGCTGGAGAACGCTGGGGATGGGGGGAGGGGGCGGGGAAGGGTGGCGCGGTACGACGCGTGATCAATTTGTTGGAGCGGTGCGCCGCTTGGGGAATGCTGGGGCGGGTTGGCATGGGTTTCGGGGAAAGGGGGGGAGGGGCAGGAGGGGGGCAGGAAGGGGGTGTGGGGGGGTGCTATGCGGAGTGAAATGATTTGGGCGGAGAGGGCATTGGGCGGAGGTTCCATTGGGCCGCTGGGGAACGCTGGGGAGGGGTCGGAGGGGGGGCGGGGAGGGGGGGGGCGCGGTGCGACGCTGAATAAAACGGCCAGGGCGGAGGGGGCATTCGGCGGAATTTCCGCTAGAAACGTTGGGGGGGGTAGGAGGGGGGGCCCGGTGCGACGCGGAATCTAGTGGTCGGGGCGGGGGGACTCTTGGCCAGGTTCCACCGGGCCGCTGGGGAACGCTGGGGGAATGTAGGAGAAGGGCGGGCAGGGGTGGGGGGCGCGGTGCAACGCGGAATGACATGGTCGGGGCAGGGGGCACTGGGCGGAGGTTCGACTGTGCCGCTGGGGAACGATGGGGAGGGGTAGGACGGGGGCGTGAAGGAGGGGGGGGCGCGGTGCGACGCTGAATAAAATTGTCGCGGCGGGGGGGGGACCGTCGGCGGAGGTTCCACGGGGCCGCTGGGGAACGCTGGGACAGGTAGGGGAGGGGGGCGGGGAGGTAAGGGGGGCGCGGTGCGACGCGGAGTAGCATGGACAGGGCGGAGGGACATTGGGCGGAGGTTCCACTGGGCCATTGGGAAAGGCGGAAGAGAAGTAGGACGGGGTGGGGGTGCGGTGCGACGCGGGATAAAATGGCCGGGGCAGAGAGGGCACGAGGCGGAGGTTCAACTGTGCTGCTGGTGAACGCTCTGGAGGGGCAGGACGGGGGCGGGCAGGGGGGGGGCGCGGTGCGACGTGGAATAAAATAGTCGGGCCGGAGGGGGCACTGGGGGAGGTTCCACTGGACCACTGGGGAACGCTGGAGAGGAATAGGAGGGGGGCGGGGAAGCGGGGGGCGCGGTGCGACGCGAAATAAAATAGTCGGGGTGGAGGGGGCACGGGGCGGAAGTTCCATTGGGCCGCTGGGGAACGCTGGGGACGGGCGGGAGGGGGGCGGTGAGGGGGGGATGCGGCGCGACGCGGAATATAATGGTCGGGGCAGAGGGGGCACTGGACGGAGGTTCCACTGGGCCGCTGAGGAGGGGTAGGAGGGGGGCGGGAAGGGGGAGTGCGGTGCGACGCGGAATAAGCTGGTCGGAGCTCGAGATACCCTGTGCAAGAAAAAAATCGGGGAACAGGGCCACGGGGCGGGCGCCCACTGGGGCGCTGGGGACGCGGGGGGGAGGGGGGAGGTGTGCGTCGCGACGCGAAGTAAAATGCTCGGGGCGGGGGGGGCACGGGGCGGAGATCCCACTGGGGCGCGGTGTACGCGGGGGGGCTCGGGGCAGAGGGCCACGGGATAAAAGGGGTCCCACTCTGGCGCTGGGGACGCGTGGGAAGGGGGGGGAAGCGGTGTGCGTCCCGACGCGGAATAAAGTTGCCGAGGCGGAGGGGGCACTGGGCGGGGCTCGGGCCGAGTGGGGCGCTGGGGACGCGGGGAGGGAGGTGGAGGAGGTGGTGTGCGTCGCGGCGCAGAAGAAAACGTTCGTGGCGGAGGGGGCTGTGGGCGGGGCTCCTACTGGGCCGCTGGGGATGCGGGGGGGCTCGGGGTGACGACTGGGCTGGGCTCCAACCAGGGCGTTGCGGACGCGGGGGGGAGGTGGGGGAGGTGGTGTGCGTCGCGACGCGGAATAAAGTGGTCGGGGCGGAGGGGGCACTCGGCGGGGCTTGGGGCAGAGGGCCACGGGGCGGGGGTCCAACTGTGGCGCTGGGGACGGGGGGGGGAGGTGGCGTGCGTCGCGACGCGGAATAAGTTGTGCAGGGCGGAGGGGGCACGGGGCGGAACCCTCACTGGGGCGCTGGGGACGAGGGGAGGGAGGTGGGGAGGTGGTGTGCGTGCGACGCGGGATAAAGCGTTCGTGGCGGAGGGGGGGGTGGGCGGGGCTCCCTCTGGGGCGCTGGGGGCGCGGCGGGGATCGGGGCAAAGAGCCACGGGGCGGGTGTCCCACTCTGGCGCTAGGGACGCGGGGGGGGGGATCGGGGGTCCCACTGGGGCGCTGGGGACGTGGGGGGGAGGGGGGGAGGTGACGTGCGTCGCAACGCGGAATAAATTGTCGGGGCGGAGGGTGCACAGGGCGGAGCTCCCTCTGGGGCGCTTGGAATTCGGGGGGGCTCGGGCGGAGCAGAGAGCCACGGGGCGGGGGTCCACTGTGGCGCTGGAGAGGTGGGGGGAGGAGTGGGGGAGGTGGCGTGCGTCGCGACGAGGAATAAACTTGTCGGGGCGGAGAGGGCACGGGGCGGAGCCCCCACTGGGGCGCTGGGGACGCACGGGGAAAGGTGGGGGAGGTGGTTTGCGTCGCGACGCGGTATAAAGTGGTCGTGGCGGAGGGGGCAGTGGGCGGGGCCCCCACTGGGGGGAGGGGAGGTGGTGATGTGGTGCGTGAGGAGGGGGAGGTGGCGTGCGTCGCGACGCGGAATAAATTGTCGGGCGGCGGGGGCCCGGGGCGGAGTCTCCCACTGAGAACGCTGGGGACGCGGGGGGGAAGGTGGGGGAGGTGGTGTGCGTCGCGACGCGGGATAGAGCGCTCGTCGCGGAGGGGGCAATGAGCGGGGCTCCCACTGGGGCGCTGGGGGGGCTCGGGCGGAGTAGAGGGCCACGGGGCGGGGGTCCCACTGGCGCTGGGGACGCGGGGGGAGGAGTGGGGGAGGTGGCGTGCGTCGCGACGCGGAATAAAGTTGTCGGGGCGGAGAGGGCACGGGGCGGAGCCCCCACTGGGGCGCTGGGGACGCGGGGGGGAAAGGTGGGGGAGGTGGTGTGCGTCGCGACGCGTAATAAAGTGGTCGTGGCGGAGGGTGCACTGAGCGGGGTCCCCACTGGGGGAGGGGAGGTGGTGACGTGGTGCGTGAGGAGGGGGAGGTGAGTGTGCGTCGCGACGCGGAATAAAGTTGTCGGAGCTCTAGACACCCTGTGCAAGATAATAGACACATACAACAGGATTCCCCATATGTTCGTATAGTCTGGGTTTTTGTCTCCCCCCCCCCCACTTTCCATATTTTCTTATATTTCTCTGGGTAACCGACGACGAATTGTGTCTGTCTGATTTTTTCCTCCCGAGTCTCTTGGCAAGAGAGCCCCGAACTCCAAGAAGCACTGGCTAAATACGGATGCAACCTTGCCCGCACTCGGGGCCGTCGTCGCCGGCGTCGCCGGGGCTCTGAGCCTCCTCCTCCTCCTCCTCCTCCTCCTCCTCCTCCTCCTCAGAGCCCGAAGATCGGCGACTCCCAAGAGTGTGGTCTGCAAAAAGGTGTGGCTTGCAATCGGCACCCTGGGCGGCGGGCGAGGACCTCGATGGAGCTCTCCGCCGCGCCCCGAGGCCCGACGAGGACGGCGTCGTGCTCCCCAGGCCCGAACGGTGCCGATCGCAAACCACACCCCGGCGTGACCATACCCTGTGATTGGCGGCGAGCGCGGGGGGGAAATGACAAGGGGCGGACCTTCTCAGAAGGCTCGGAAGTCCCCCGGCCTTCTGAGCAGTTTTCTGCCCCTTCGCCCCCCCCAAGACGCAACTAACACATCCCAGAAGGCGCGAGAACTTCCGAGAAGTCCCGCCGCCTTCTGAGAGGGCCTTCTCCTTCTCACAGCCCCCCTCGGGGGGTCGCTGCCGAATCCTGGAGGAAGAGGTGGAGGAGGAGGAGGAGGAGGAGGAGGAGGAGGCGGAGGAGGGGGAGGGACAGGGAGGGGGGAGGGGGGGAGGCTTCTTATTCGTAGTCTGTAGGTCGTTCTTTTTGTTCTGTTTCTTCCCCCCCTCCTAGCGTTCTTCTTATTTACGTCTTATTCTTCTTTCTCTTCTTCTCTTCTGGTTCTTCCTTTTCTCTTCTCTTCGGCTTTGCCGCACCACTATGACTCACTACTTCCCCCGACCCCGCCACCATGTGACCCCACCTACGCCGTACCGCACCCCGATGCCCGCAGACCCCGGGGGCCCCGTTGCCCCAGCCGGCCGCGGCCACGTGGATGGCCGAGACCCTTGAACAAAACCCCCTCGAACCACGAAGTCATCGAAATCTATCTCGATGCCTCGAGCCTCCTCCTCCTCCTCCTCCTCCTCCACCTCCTCCTCCTTTCTCCTCGTTTCACTTCCTCCCCCTCCTCCTCCTCCACCCTCGTTTCTGCCTCTTCCTACCTCCATCGTTATCCTCCTCCTCCTCCTCAAATCCTGCCTCCTTCCTCCTCCTCCTTCCTCCTTCTCCTCCTCCTCCTTCTACGTCCTCCTCGCCTTTTTTCCTCCTCCTCCTCCTCCCTCCCTCCTTTTCCTCCACCTCCTCCTCCTCCTCCTCTTCCTCTTCCTCCTCCTCCTCCTCCTCCTCCTCCTCCTCCCCCAGGGTGCACAAACGAACGTCCAACACACACGAAGAACATTGGACGACAACATCAGACACGAAGACCACAAACATTCAGCAAACATCCAAAATCCAACACAAGACCATCCGACAAGCACGACGAACACAAACATCCAACAAACATCCAACATCCAAGGTACCGTATAAGCTCGACCACAAGAAACCTTCCACAAGAAACTCGGCATTGATGATGCCCCGGGCGTAGATTGACTTGTTTGGTGTGGGCACGTCACGCTCCCCATGGCGAAGCCATCGAAGCCCAAGAAAGCCCGGACACCCTGGAGGCAAGCAGGGTGCTTCTTGGCATGGGCTTCCACTGTACACCCTGCGAAATGCTTAAGAAATCATGGGTTAAGAAATTCATAGTCTCAGAGCTTGAATAAAAACCCAACATGTCCATTACAATCTTAAGATTTACACTGAAACGTTAAGAATCATCGAGACTCTGGCCGAAAACTGAAGTTTTCTAAAGCATCGCCTAAGGTGTACCCTCCCCGAACCGACCTCGATCTTTAGAGGCCTCCTAGAGGGGGTCAAAGTGGGTGCATCGGTGACACCGGCGACGCAGCGTCGACGAGGGCGATGCATCGGCGACGTCGACGTGCAGCAACTCGGGCTGCACATCGAGTCGCATCGCCGATGCATCGCCGATGCATCGCCGATGCGGCGCGATCGTCTGGCCCCATCTACTCCGACCCCATCTGCGAGGCCTAGAATCGGGGGGTCGGCCCTGAAGATCGAGTATCGCGGGCCGAGGGAGGATCGAGGATCGCGGATCGCGGGTCGAGGGAGGATCGAGGATCGAGGGAGGATCGAGGATCGCGGGTCGACTGGCCAGGGCTTCCACTGCACCCGCCCCGAACCGACCTTGACCCCCGACCCCTCGGCCCTCGATTTTTGACCCTCGGGCCTCGGCCCTCGAACCTCGACCCTCGAACCTCGGCCCTCGGCCCTCGACCCTCGGCCCTCGATCCTTCCTCCGAGACTCGGCCCGTGGCCCTCGGCCCTCGCCACCTCGGCCCTCGCAACTCGCACCCCGGCCCGACCGCAGTCGCCGAGAGCCGCCGCCGCCGCCGCCGCCGCCGTCGTCGCCGCCGCCGCCGTCGTCGCTGCCGCCGTCGTCGTCGCCGCGAGGCGCAGGTGTAGGGCGACGAGATCTATGCATATCCACTGCTCCCGGCCAGGCCCATCCTGGGCCAAGCGATACAAGGAACAAGAGGAGGAAAAGGAGGTAGCGGTGAGGGCGACGGGGGAGAGGGAGGAGGCAGTCAGGAAGCAAGAGAACGCAGCGAGCGGAGAGGAGGAGGGGAAGTAGGCAGGAGGGGGGAGGAGGGGAAGGAGGGGAGTGAGGGGTGAGGGAGAGGAGGAGGAGGAGGAGGAGGGAGGAAGGAGGAGGGTTGGCAGTGGCGCGCGGCGGCGGCGCGGGGCTCCCTGCGACATGCGCTGGATGGCCGCGCGGCGCCGCTCGGGCGGCAGGCGGGCGAGCAGCGCCGCGGCGCGGCGCAGCGGCCGGGCGGGGAGCGGCGCGGCCTGGGGCTGAGCCGGCCCCCTCGGCGCGAGGGCCGCGGGCCGCGGGCCGAGGGCGGAGGAGGAGGAGGAGGAGGAGGAGGAGGAGGAGGAGGAGGTCGAGTGTCGAGGGCAGGGTTGTCGAGGCTCGAGGGCCGCCGAGGGCCAGGGGTCGGTGCGGGGAGGGGGCACCGTGGAGGCCCCTGCCGGTCGGCCCGCCGTCCTCGATCCTCCCTCGGCCCCGCCGTCCTCGATCCTCGGGGGTTCGACGGCTCCCCGTGCTCAGGCTGACGGCCCGGGGCGCCCTAGGCCTCGGCTGCTCGCTCCGGAGGGCCTCCCGGGAGCCACTCGCTCCGCTCCCGCGTCGACGGAGGGGCCCAGGGGCACACAGAAGTAAACACACACACACACACACAAAACACAGGATTCCCCATACTTTCCCAAATGTTCTGGTTCTTTGTCTTCCCGCCCAGCTCCCATCTTTTCTCCTACGTTCCGGGGAATCGACGACTCATTGTGTCTGTGTGTCTTTATCTCCCTCCCGCGTCGAGGCTGCGCCCCACGTCCGTCGACTCGAGCCGGCCTCGGGGCGAACCTGCGTCGAGCCTGGGGCTCGAACTCGGGCCGAGCTCGAGTCGAACCTCGCCATCGCTCGGACGTCCATTCCCTGTGCTTTTTTCGGCTTCGTGCGTGGCTTTTTCGCCAAATGATCAAGGATGCGCCTCGATGGTCCCCACCGAGGAAAAAATGCACACGTCCGAGCGATGCCAAGGAACCGGGGTCAGACTGAAGTCGAACAGATCCGCTGGGGGTGGGCGCAGCGGCAAGGCGGGGAGAGCGGGGCGGCCCCGGGGCTCCGCAAAGCCTGCCTCTGCCCAGACCCCCTCGCGCGGCGAGCAGCAGCCACGACGGGCTGCTTCTTTTTTCGCTACGTTCGGCCACCAGGGGGGGGGGCTCCCCAGCAGACACGTCGGTCGGAAGAGGTAGAACAAAAAAACATGAAGCAGGAAGGCGGACATAGTAGATCGGGTTCAGGCCCTCCCAGAGAATTATCCCAGTGCGACCCTACCTAGGAGTTGGAGCATTTAGGAAAGCAGCATCTACATCTACGCCGACAGCTACAACTACATCACTGTGCTATGCTATGCTATGCTGCGCTGTGCTATGCTAAGGAATGCTATGCTATGCTATGCGATGCTATGCTGCGCTATGCTGCGCTATGCTATGCTATGCTATGCTATGCTATGCTATGCTATGCTATGAGTGGCTATGCTATGCTATGTGATGATGTGCTAATGCTGCGCTATGCTGCGCTATGCTGCGCTATGCTGCGCTGAGCTAAGCTAAGGTAAGCTAAGCTATGCTAAGCTATGCTAAGCTAAGCTAAGCTAAGCTAAGATAAGCTAGGCTAACCTAGGCTAAGCTAAGCAAAGCTAAGCCACGCCAAGCCAAGCTCCGCTAAGCTAAGCTAAGCTAAACTAAGATGAGATACGCTAAGCTGAACTAAGCTAAGCTAAGCTAGGCTAGGCAAAACTAAGCTAAGCTAAGCTACGCTAAGACGGGCTTTGCCAAGCCAAGCTAAGCTAAGCTAAGCTAAGCTTAGCTAAGCTGGGTGAACCCAGGGGGCGCAACTGGGGGAACCGCGGGGCGGATCCTGGGGGAACCGCCCGGGGCGGGGTCCACTGCCCGGCCCTTTAAGCCCATAGAGTAAGAACCCTTCTAGGCAGAGCCTAGGTAGGGAACAACAAAACACAGCAAAGGCATGCCTAGGAAGGCGCCTGAAATAGATTGGGATCTGGGAAACCAAGAATACCTACTTTCAACGACCGGCGTGTACAGGGCAGGGGACGTACAGGAGAGTAGGGCAGGGCGTACGAGGGCGGGGTGCACTGCGTTCCGGACAGCCTACCCTCCTCCTCCTCCTCCTCGTTCTCCTCCTGCTCCTCCTCCTCCTCCTCCTCTTCCTGCTCCTCCTCCTCCTTCTCCTCCCCTTCCTCCTCCTCCTTCTCCTCCCCTTCCTCCTCCTCCGCCTCCTCCTCCTCCTCCTCCTCCTCCTCCTTCTCCTCCCCTTCCTCCTCCTCCGCCTCCTCCTCCTCCTCCTCCTCCTCCTCCTCCTCCTCCTCCTTCTCCTGCAGAGGGACGTGCGGAGGCCCCTTGCTTGCAGGGCGGCTGCCTGCGAGGAGGCGCCATGGCCCCCTCTCGCCCGCGGACGGGGCCCTCGCGCCCTCCGAGGAGCCAGGGGGGGGCAGGCTGCCAGACAGCCTTCCCAGGAGCCCTCCCCCTCCTCCTCCCTCTCCTCCTCCCCATCCTCCTCCTCCTCCTCCTCCTTCTCCTCCTCCTCCTCCTCCTCCTCCTCCTCCTCCTCCCCCTCCTCCTCGCTCCTCGCCCCCGGGAAGCCTCTGGAGGTTTCCACGGGCCCAGATCGCCAGACACTCCCGACAACCCCAGCACACATCAAACCACTCGCACACTAAAGACACGCCAGCAGCCGGGGCGATCCTAGTTCTCGGTGTTTGAAGGGGCCCCAGGACACACAGACAAATGCACACAGATAAAACGATTCCCCCTATTTTCCCATATGTTTGGGCTTTTGTCTTCCCCCCCACTTCCCGTATCTTTGCATATTTTCCTGGGAGTCGACGATTCATTGTGTCTGTGTGTTTCTTTCCCTCCTGAGTGTTGGTGGTCATGTTTCGGTCGCCCTGGAAACCAGAGTACTCTTACCACCGTCACCGCGATCGGGATCTGCTTCCCTCGGTGGAGGCACACTGCCGATCTTGGTGCTGGTGCCGGCCCCCGCGCCCTCCGAGAAGCCGGGGGGGGCGTGCTGCCGGGAGGCCTTCCCCCAGGACGCAGGAGCCGCCAGCAAGCAGCAGGAGCACGTGGGCACCCTCCCCGAAGCGACCTCGATCCGATGCCTCGGCCCGACCGCACCCTGGGCCCGCCCTGGTCCGCGCTCCCGAGAGCTCCGCCGCCCCGACTTCGCCACGGCGTGTGCCCCTGGAGGCCTGAGCCGCTCCCCCTCGGGAGCGGCCAAGAGGGGGGTGCCCAAGAGGGGGGGGGGTGCAAATCATGGCCGGCGGCATGTGCGCGGCCCAGCGGGGGGGCCAGGAACGTAATGGAATAAGAAGAAGCGCCGTGAAATCTGGGGAGGTATGGTGGCCCACGCCATGATCTCGGCGCGCCCAGGGGGTTAGAAGTGGCAAGGGGCGGGCCTTCTCAGAGGGCTCGGAAGTCCCCCGGCCGTCCGAGAAGTGTTCGAGGCGTTCCCCGAAGACACGGACCACTCCTCGGAAGGCGCGAGGGCTTCTGAGACGTCCCGTCGCCTTCGGCGAAGGCCTTCTCCTTCTCACTTGCCCCCTTCGCTGGCGGCCAAGATTCCCAGCCACGCCTCTCTCTCTCTCTCTCTATCCATCTTTCCCTCTCCAGTATCCCTTCCCCCCTTCCCCCCTTCCCTGCCCCGAGCGTCCGCTCAAGTTCCGCCGCCCGATCCTATTGCTATCCAGTGCAAGACAAGTTCAGATCACACTCTTGCCTCCTCTTCCCCTCGCGCCTGAACCTCACATACACAACTACATGCTATGTCCATGTCTTTGATCACCTCCCGATGCCAGCCCCGTTCGTGCCTGCGGCGCCAAGATGGTCGAACGCGATGCAGCCTCAGCAGGAACGCTGGCCCAAAGCACTTCTGCACCTTCGGCGCCCCAAGGAAGATGGTCGAGAGTCTCAAAGGGGGATGTCTACAGAAATTGACCTACCCCCGACACTTCACAAACTCCTCTTCCATGTTCTCTCCCTCATCCTCCGCCTCCCCCTTCCCATCCGCTTTTCCCGCCCAAGCCTCCTTATGCGTCCTCGTCCTCCCCCCTTGGCATCCTCCTTCTCCTCCTCGTTCATCCCTCCGCATCATCACGCTCACTTGCTGACTTGTGTTTTGCTTGATCTCCATCTCTCTCTCTCTCTTCCTCCCTCTCTTGTTATTCTCTCTCTCTCTGTCTCTCTCAGCAGCGGCTCGCGGACCCCCAGAACCCAGAATCGGGACGATGAGTCGGACACGGCGATCGAAGTGAATCAGATCGGCGGAAATCGGCAGACGAATCGGGAAACGTCGAATCGGCGGACATCGGCAGGCTGGCATGCTGCCGCTCAGACATCGGAGCCCGGATCGGCATCCGAAGTCGAACCGAAGCGGAGCCGGAAGCCATCGAGATCGAATCGAATCGAACCGTTATGTCGGGCGTGTCTCCCTACAGGGGGATGTTCGACGGTGTTTTTTTTTAATCTTATTTTTCTTTTATATTTTTTAAAACAAAAAAACATACCCGAAAAGGTAAAACAAAAATCAAAAAATAGTCCCCAGACTATTGGGTGTACTATGTGTTGATTATCTTTGGGGTATGTATCATTTTTCGTCGAAGACCCCCCTGTCGGGGGACAGGCCCGCCTCGAATCGAACCAGAGGAGCCGAGGCGAGCCCGCACGCTGCCCGTGCCCGAGCGCGGCCGCGGCCGCCCGCCACCCGAGGGCCCAAAGTGCTCTCGGCGAGGCGGGGCCCTCTCTCTCTCTCGGGGCCGACGCCGAGCGGCACCCCTCCTCCTCCTCCTCCTCCTCCTCCCCTCCTCCCTCCACTCTCCTCCCCCTCCTCACCCCTGCTCCTCCTCCTCCTCCTCCTCCCCTCCTCCACCTCCTCGTCGTGGCCTCCCTCCACCCCCCCTCCTCCTCTCTCCTTCCTACCTCCTCCTCCTCCTCCTCCTCGCTCCTCCCCCCCTTCTCCTCCTCCTCCTCACCTCCTCCACCTCCTCCTCCTCCTCCTCCTTCCCTCTCTCCTCCCTCCTCTTCCTTTTCCTCCTCCACGCCTCCCTCCTCCTCCTCCGCCTCCTCATTCCGCCTCCCTACTCCCTCCTCCTCCAACCTCGCCCTCCCCTCCTCCTCCCCTCCTCGTGTCCCTCCTCCTCCTCCTCAATCCTCCCTCCTCCTTGACAGGGCCGACCGTCCGGGTATCCTAAGACCATAATCCGCGACATGCTCCGAGAACGACAAAAGTGATTCTAATAAACAAAACAATGATCTTAAAACATAAACCCTAAGTTTAAGAACAACAGCAGTCCCAAACCAAAAACCAACCAACAATGAATCAGAAAAAGTACCAAGAAAACAAAAGAAAAAAAAAAAACACAACCCAAAGAAAAAAATAAACCAACAAACCAAAAGAATAAAACATTACCAAGGCCAAACATGTTTCAAGAACATTCCGTGGGAACCACAAGAGGTTCTTAGAACATTGTTTGGTAGGGCCATAGGCGAGCCAGGACGCTTCGCCACTGCTTGATCCTCCTCGCCCTCCTCCTCCCCGCGCCACGGTACCGCGTGCTGCCGCTCCTGCGATGGTACCCGGATGTGCGGGCGTCTTGCGGCATTGTTTACCGGTGCGATCGGCCTGACCGAAGGAACGATGAATAAGGAACGAAGCCCCTCTTTTTCCAGGTAAGTCTGGGGAGTCCGAAGGAACACCAAGGGGACTCGCCGACTAAAAGGTGGCGGAACGCAGGCAAACCAAAGGAACGACCGAGCCCCTTTTGAAAAGTAAGTGTTCCTTATTTAAGCTGGACCCTGTGGCGTATTTTAAGAAACACGTATCAGTCCAGCATGTCGACTGAACTGTTGTTTCTCAAAGGGCGGCTTGGCGCCGCGGCCGACATGGGCGAGGACCCTTCATGCGAACGTGGCCCGCGGCCGGGGAACGAACACTGACATACAGTCGGACTCGATTGGAGAGGAGACGCGAGAGGACACGAGACCCTTCCGGGGGCCGCGCTGCCACAGACCTGCAGGAGGCATGGGTCGCAAGACACAGGACTCGAGGGCACCCTTGATCTGGCAGGGTCGACCTGCTAATCCGGGCCGCCTGTAGGCCGTTCCCTTCGGGCTTCGAGGGGTGTATCCCCGACTGGGGGGGTAATTTGGTGGGGGTCTCGAAGGGGATGGGGACAGGGGATTGGGATCGGTTAAACGATACCGAGCTCCTTCCCTGGCTCGCGACCTGGCGAACACACGACAAAAAGAGAACGCATCGCGCCGGAGAGCCTTGATCTGGCAGGGTCGACCTACTAATCCGGGCCGCCCGTCACAGAACAAGTCGGAGGTCTGCGCGGATGCCTCGGATCCGCGCTGGGCCTCCTTTCTGGCGCCCTCCGTGCGCCAGGGTTAAATCGGGCGTGTCCCCCTACCAGGGGATTTTCGACGAAACATTTAAAAAATCAAGCAATATTCCCAAATGGTAAAAAAATTAAAAATAGTCTCCGGACTATTTTTTAACTTATTTTTGAACGCTCCTCCTGTAGAGGGACTGGCCCGACTTAACGCCAGGAAAGGGGGTCCAACGCCGATCCGAGAAATACGCACGGACCTCCGAGTTTCACTATTTCCCAATCAGTGCTTGCACTGAAGGGGTCCTAGCAGAAATTGACAGATGTAGCGAAAAAGTCCCGCCGATTTTGGTGGCCAGCTGGGTTCACGGGTTCCTGGTTTCCGGTGTCCTGGGTTCCTGGATATTGGTGCCTGGCCGATTTCGGTGGGTTCCGGGTTCCCGGGTTCGCGGTCGATCTCTTTATCGATCTCTTTATCGATCCCACGATTCATCAAACCATCCGCAGATTGGGTTTTTTCTCCAGTGTAATGTTATTGCTTGTTCCTCCAATTGGGGCCCTCGACGACGCTCCCCCTGTGGGGCAACCGAACGTGTGCGGGGCATGCCGAAAGGGGCGAGCGCCCCCTTGCGAACAAGGCCACTGGGACCCTCGTCGGAGCTGCTTGTGGGGCCACAGCGTGTGTGAGGGGTGTGCCAGGAAACAGGATTAGGAGGAGGAGGAGGAGGAGGAGGAGGAGGAGGAGGAGGAGGAGGAGGAGAGGGAGGAGGAGGAGGAGACGGAGGAGACGGAGGGGGAGGAGATGGAGGAATGGCGCTGAGGAAAGAGGCGGCGGGCAGAGGTAAGAGGGAGAGGCAAAGGGAACGACACGGGCTCGCTGCGGACTCTAAGCGAGGGCCCCCCACACCGCAAAAGGCCAGGAACACCCACCCAGTACAGCCGCGAGGGAGCTCGTGGCCGGAGAAAGTGTGCTCCAACATCAGCGGTGTGTGGTGCATAGTGGCTTCACTATGGACCTCCTCCTCCTCCTCGTCCCCTTCCTCCTCCCCCCCTACCTCGTCCTGCCCAACGATCAACGATGTGTGGTGTATGGTAGCTTCGCTATGGACCTCCTCCTCCTTCTCCTCGTCCCCTCGCGCCTCCTCCCGTACCTCTTCCTGCCCACTGCCCCCATCCCATCATCCCTCCTCGCGCCCTTCTCCGTTATCGGTCCTCCCCCCCTATTCCACCTTCTGATGCTGCTGAGGAGGAGGAGGCGGAGGAGGAGGAGGGAGGAGGAGGCGGAGGCGGAGAGGGAGGAGCCCCCCGCTCGCTCCATCTGCGCTCCTCCCTCCTCCATCGCCCCGCCCCCCCTCTCCCGGGACCTCCCTCAAGGATCGACCTCTTCATGGCGTGTCTCGGCGATGCCGTGGGCCGTGTCCGTTTCGGACTCCGCTCTGCAGCAGAGGCGAGTGGGAGACAGCACGAGGGAAAACGAGCACACAACGAAAACGGAGGAAGGCACTGCTTAGGTCGATCCCTGCCCCCCCCCCGGCCTCCTCCATCTCGTCTCGTGGCTCATCCTTCTGGGAGCAGGAGGGCCCAGAATCGGATCGGTACGTCGGATCGGCGATCGAACTCCATCGGATCGGCGGAGATCGCGGCAGCCGAATTTGGAAAAATCGAGTCGGCGAAAATCGGCATTCTAGTGGGCCTCCATCGAGAAATCGGAGCGGAGATCGGCATCCCGAATCGAATCGAAGCGGAATCGGAAGCCATCGAGATAGAATCGAATCGAATCGGAGGAATCGAAATGAGCCCTGTCCACATCATCTCGTGGCTACCCCATCCCTGACCCCCCCATCCTCCTCCACAGACCCCCAACGTCGTGAGTTTTTCGCAGCGCCGATACCCAAAGATCTGGACTCTTTCCCTCGGACAGGTGATCCCAAGTCGTTTTGTGGCGGTCCCGAGGCCCGGGAAGAACGCCCGGATGCCGAACACAGCGAACAACTTCCCGTCGTAAGGTTTGTTTCGCAGCGCGAGGAGGTCTGGGTCTTGCTCCGTTTCCTCCTCGGCCTCCTCGTCCTCTTCCTCGTCCTGTGAGGGTCCTTCGAGGAGCCCCTCCCGTCTTCTGCTGCTCCTCTGGCTCTTCCTGCACCCCCAGCTCCTGCTCCCTCTCCCCCACCATTCCTTTTCCTCACACTCCGCCTCGTCTTGCTGCGCTTCCTTCACAGACCCCCGACGCCATGATTTTTTCATAACGTCGACTCCCAAAGTCGGGAGCCCCGAAACGGTGCGGTGACGGACCGTGCGGTGACCTCGAAATCCCCCAAGACCTCACCGCACGGTCCGTCACCGCACGGTCTTGGGACCTCGGATGCCCCTGTCGCCCGAGACGTCCTCGGAGAACGACCCGAGTCCCGAAACCATGCGGTGACCCGGAGTCCCCACTGGCTCCGCACCGTTTGGGGGCCCCCGACAGAGGCCTCGGCCCATTCCTCTGGGACCGGCTTTTCATCCTGAGTGGTTTTTGTTGACGGCCCCGACGCCCGGCCAGGCCCCTCGGAGGCCGAACATAACCAATGGAACACATTTCGCCGTGGCTTTTGCTCACGCCCCTCCCCCTCCCCCCTCCCCTCCCCTCCCCCTCCACCTCCCCCCCCCTCCTACCCCCTCCTCCTCCTCCTCCTCCTCCTCCTCCTCCTCCTCCTCCTCCTCCTTCTCCACAATTACACAATATGAAAATACTCTCCCACTTCCCCTGATGGCGTCCCGAAGATATCCGACACCCCCCCGCGTATTGTTTTTTTACACACAGGATTCCCGGGAAACGGGTTTTCGCTTGTGTGTGTGTTTTTCAAAATGCTGCTCTCACAATGGCAATGGTAATGGTAATGACAATGGTAATGTGAATGGGAATGGGAACGGGAATGTGAATGGGAACGGGCATGTAAATGGCAGTGGTAGTGGTAACGGAAATGGGAATGGTAAGGGTAAGGGTAAATGCAAAGGTAGAGGTAAAGGTAAAGGTAAAGGTAATGGTAATGGCAATGGCAGTTGTAATGGTAATGGTAATGGTAATGGTATTGGGAATGGGAATGTTAATCGGAATGGTAATGGTACTGGCAACGGTAATGGTAGTGGCGAAGGGCAATGGCAATGGCAATGGTAATGGTAATGGTAGTGGCGAATGGCAATGGTAATGGTATTGGCGAATGGCAATGGCAATGGCACTGGTAATGGTAATGGCAATGACAGTGGTAATGATAATGGTACTGGGAATGGTAATGGTGACGATAACGGTAATGGTAATGGTTATGGCAATGGTAACGGGGTAGCGATTGGCAATGGTAATGGGAATGGCAACGGCAACGGCAATGGCAATAGCAATGGCCATGGCAATGGTAATGGTCATTGTCATGGTCATGGTCATGGTAATGGTAATGGTAATGGTAATGGTAATGGGAACGGGAATCGTAATAGTAATTGGAACGGGAACGGGAATGGAAATGGTAGTGGTAGTGGGAAAGCTAATGGCAATGGTAATGGAAATGTTACTGGTAACGGTAGTGGTAATGGCAATGATGATGGGAATGGGAATTGTAATGGTGATGGCAGCGGTAATGGTAATGGTAATGGCAATTGTGTTGGTAATGCTAATGATAATGGCAATGGTAATGGTGGTGGCGAATGGTAATGGTAATGGGAATGGTAATGGTAACGGTAATGGTAACGGGGTAGCTACTGGCAATGGCAATACCATGGCAATGGCAACGGCACTGGCACTGGCAATGGCAATGATAATGGCAATTGTAAAGGCAATGGTAATGGCACTGGCAATTGTAATGGCAATGGTAATGGTAATGGTAATGGTACAGGTAAAGATAAAGGTAAAGGTAATGGTAATGTGAATGGGAATGGGAATTGGGATGGGAATGGTAATGGTAGTGGTATTGGGAATGGGAATGGAATGGGAATGGGAGTGGGAGAGATTGAGAGAGAGAGAGAGAACAACAAAACGAGAAAGGAAACATCAGCATAATGATGAGGAACAAACTGAGAGAGAGAGAGAGAGAAATGAAGAGCGACGGAGTAGATGGCAAGGGGACGAAGGAACGAAAGATATTAAGAAGATAATATGATGACGCAGAGAGATGGAAGAGCGTTTCACTCGATAAAAACCATATGAAAACGACGAGGACCCCCACAATCCCCCGGCCTCGAGAACCTCCTCCTCCTCCTCCTCCTCCTCCTCCTCCTCCTCCCCCATCTCCACCTTTTCTCCTCTTCCTCTTCCCTCCTCCTCCTCCTCCCCCTCCTCCTCCTCCCCCTCCTCCTCCTGCTCCTCCTCCCTCCTCCTCCTCCGCTCCTCCTCCTCCCTCCTCCCCTCCTCCTCCTCCTCCTCATCCTCCTCCCCCTCCTCCCTCCATTTCCTCTTCCTCTTCCTCTTCCTCCTCCTCCTCCCCTCCCCCTCCTCCCCCCCTCCTCCTCCTCCTCCTCCTCCTCCTTCCTCCTCCTCCTCCTCCTCCCTCTCCTCCTCTCCTCTCCCTCACCTCCTTTTCCTCTCACTCTTCCTCTTCCTCCTCCTCCTCCTCCTCCTCCCTCCTCCTCCTCCCCTCCTCCTCCTCCTCCTCCTCCTCCTCCTCCTCCTCCTCCTCCTCTCTGCTCCTCCTCCTCCTCCTCCTCCTCCTCCTCCTCCTCCTCCTCCTCCTCCTCCTCCTCCATCTCTCCCCCTCCTCCTGGGAGCGCACCCGCGGCGTGCTGCGGGCCCCGGCCACGAGCCGCCGGGGCACCCGGGGCCTGCTCGGCCGCCGCAGCGCGGCCGCCTGCCCGACTGGAGGCCCGCGGGGCCGCGTCGGGCGCAGAGCGGCGGTGGGCAGAGGAGGAGGAGGGCGAGGGAGACGAGGAGGAAAGAGGAAGACGACGAGGAAGGCGACGAGGAAGACGAGGAAGACGGCGAGGGAGACGAGGAGGAAGAAGAGCAAGACCCAGGAAGACGGCGAGGAAGACGGCGAGGGAGACGCGGAGGAGGAGCAGAGCCCAGGGAGATGGCGAGGCAGACGGTGAGGAAGGCGAGGAGGTGGAGGAGGAGCAGGGCCCAGGAGGATGGCGGGGAGGAGAGGGAGCAAAAGACTCAGGAGAAGGAGCACGACCCGGGAGGAGGAGCAAGACGAGGCGGAGTATGAGAAGAAGAGATGATGGGGAAAGAGACGGAGGAGGGGGCAGGGGGAAGACGAGGAAGATGAGAAGGAGGAGGACGAGGGAGAGGGCGCGGAGGACGAGGAGAGGTGGGCAGAGGCAGAGGACGAGGAAGACGAGGAGGAGGACGAGGAGAGGCGGGCAGAGGAAGAGGGCGAGGAAGACGAGGAGGAGAAGGAGCGAGACCCAGACCTCCCCGCATTTCGAATCAAAATCACGGCGACAGGTGTTTCGCAATGTTTGGCGAGACGGAGGGTGCCTCGGTCCACCATAGCATGGGCGCCTCTTCACGTGTAGGGATGGGGGAGGGGTGGGTGGGGAGCGAGACGAGGGCTTCATCCGTGGGGGATGGGGGGCGAGACGGAGGGTGCTTCGGTCTACCATAGTATGGGTGCCTTTTCACGTGTAGAATTGGGGGCCTCCGGTGCGGTGTCCCTGGCCGGGCCTCGGGGCCGTCACCAAAAACCACTCAGGATGAAAACCGGTCCCAGAGGGAGGGGCCGCCACATCTGGGAGTCGACGTCATGAGCAAATCATGACGTCGGGGGTCTGGGGAGGAAACGGAGCAAGGCGAGGCCGAGTGTGTGGGGAGGGGGGCGGGAAGGGACTCAACGTGATGCACCCCCCATGCATTGGGCGTCGCCAGGGGGGAATGGAGGGGGAGGAGGAGGAGGAGGAGGAGGAGGAGGAGGAGGAGGAGGAGGAGGAGGAGGAGGAGGAGGAGGCGGTGGAGGCAGAGGAGGAGGCGGTGGAGGGGGAGGAGCAGGGGGAAAGAGGAGGGGGAGGAGTCGGAGGGGGCTCTGGGGGCCTCGAAGCTCCCCTCTGGGGCCCCACATGGGCCTTTTGCTGCAGCCCCTCCGCTGCCCGCATAGTAAATCGCCCCCCCCACCCTTGAGCGACGCCCAGCCTGCCGCGGGCCCTCGCGCCACCGGGATCGCTCACGCGCACCTCTGGAGCCCCCCCCCCCCCGCCCTACTCAGCGGTGGGCCCCGGGGGCCACCGGAGCGCTCCGGCGGACCTGAGCCTCGTGGCGACGACTGGGCGACGACGACTGGGCGACGACGACGACGACGACGACGACGACGACGACGACGACGACGACGACGACGACGACGACGACGACGACGACGACGACGACTGGGGAACGGCCACGACGACTAGGCGACGACGACGACGATAACGACGATGACAACTGGACGACGATTGGACGATGACGCCTGAACAAGTGCACGACTGCTGCGACAGCGGTGACGATGCGACGACGACGACAACAATGTTGCAGACATGTGCTCTGATAAGCGGATCTGGCTTCACTTGATTCTCCCTCTCACTTGCACCCGCCCGCTAAGTCCATCGGCGGTGGACAAACCTACCTTTAGTAGACCTCCCCTTAGTGAAAACGGCCTGGGACCGAAACCGACGGACCTGGACCCGCAGAAATGACAGCCGCGACGCCCTCTCGCGAACCGAAAACGGCCAATTCCTTAACCGACGTGTCAGGGTAGGAGGTCTGTCCAACCCCGAGCCCATAGGGCAGCGAACCATGACACAAACATACAAACTCGGAGGTCCACGCGGATTTCTCGGATCGGCGCTGGGCCTCCTCCCTGGCGCGCGGAGCGCGCTGGGGGCGGCGCCGGAGGCGCCGCCAGGGGGGCCCAGAGGGGTCTCCAGCGCCAGTCCGAGAAATCCGCGCGTGCCTCCGAGTTGTTCTGTGTTTATTGGTCCTTCCTCGTTCCCCCAGGTCTGCGCACCAGGCCTCTCTTGTCGAGGGGCTCCTTCTGCTCCCAGCTCCCCGGAGAGACCCCCCGCAGCGCACCCGGTTCTGGGGGCCTCCGGGGCGTCTGCCCGCGCTCACGCTGGAGGAGGAGCGCCCGCTGTTCGGCGAGGCGGCGCCGAAACGCGGGCTTGAGGCGGCCGCGGGCTGGCGTTCTGCGGAGGGGTTGGGGTCCTGGGCTCCCGGGGGAAAAACAAAACTCGGAGCTTAAGCTGTTGGGGAGTACAGTCATCGGCCTGACCTAAGGAACGATAAATATAAGGAACGAAGCCCCTTTTTTATCCCAAGGAATATCGCATAAGGAACGATACATAACACATAACGCATAAGCAAACCTAAGGAACGACCGAGCCCCTTTTGAAAAGTAAGTCTTCCTTGTTCAAGTCGCTCACTGTATCGAGCGGGAGCTGTTGTCGTCGCAGCTGGTTTTTGTCCATTCCCCCCCGCACGGCTTGTGAAGACATCTCGGGCGAGAGCGCCCCTCCTGACTGCGAGGATGCACATGGCCAAGGCGCACACGAGCAGATCACGAGGAGGTACCGCCCAGAGCGAAAAACAACAAAACACGCCCGAAGACCAGCAGAACAGCGCTCAGGTCCAGCCCTGTGTTGTTCCTTAGGCTCGAGGAGGGTGCCGGCGACGCGGACGCGAGGGCAGGAGGACGAAGTCAGGACGAGGAAGGGGGTCCGCGCTGGCCGCCCTGGTGCCTCCTCGAGCGCCGCCCGACGCCAGCGTCCCAGGCGCAGGCGCGGCCCCAGGGTTGGAGGAAGAGGAGGAGAAGGAGGAAAGACGAGGAGGAGGAGGAGGAGGAGGACGACGACGACCACGACGACGACGACGACCACAACGACGACGACCACGACGGCGACGACCACGACCACGACGACGACGACGACGGCGACGGCAACGACATGCTGGTGAGCAGACCACCCTCCCCGCCACGTGTATCGAACGAGCTCAGGTTGCGGCTCATCTCTGAGCGCAGTGGCATTCTTGTCAGCAGTCGACCCTCCCAACACCCTGGTTGTAAACTGTATGCTCCCTCTTACTCCTCCTCCTCCTCCTCCTCCTCCTCCTCCTCCTCCTCATGCTGAGCATGCCATTGCAACATTCTGTTTGGGTGCTCATGAGCGCCATCGGCGCGAACCACTCCACGACTGCAACTCCATATCCTCCTCATCCTGATCGCAAGGCACATTTCGCGCTTCGCGCGCTGAGAATACAAGGGTCTTGGGGCCAAACGTACAGCGCAACGCAGAAGGGGGACGGTGCCCAGATATGCAGGAAGCATGGGTTTCGCAGCCACTGCTTTTCGTTGCTGAAGGTGCGGTCAGGGGCTCTGGCCAGGGTGCGGGGTGCGCAACTCGATAGCACGAACCGACTGCACCTGGATAAACGAAAACATGAATCGATTTCAGAAGGGAACGGTGTGGATTCCGAAGTGGCGACAGTTGCGCGCCTGGTAGCAGCCAGGGAGGGCGAGGACACGCGGGACCTGCGCAAGACACCACGCCGCTGCACCTGTCAGGTTGGCAGACAAGTAGCGAGAGTTGCGCGCCTGGCAGCAGACGTGGAGGGCGAGTCCAGTCGCACCCGCGTAAGGCATGACCTTGCTGCGCAGTCCAGATGCGACACTTGCGCGCACGGCAGCACTCAGGGAGGGCGATGTCGCGATGGAACTGCGAAGGACACCACTCCGCTTGACATCCCAAAGGAGCACCAAAAAGGCCTGAACTCTGGGAAAACCGAACAGTATCCATACCGTTACTCCCCGGACCTCTCCCCAGGTGCGTCCCGACCAGAATCACGAGGCGAATCCAGCGGCGGCGACGAGGGCCTCCCGGGAGGCCCACAGGAGAAAACAAGGGAAGCGTAGCCGTATAATACGGGTACCTTTTCCTCCTCTGAAGCTCTACGCCCAGCACTGCCCACGAGAGGGCGACGCCCAGTGGAACCCGCGTCTGGCACGACCGCGGGGCTCCTTCCAGGTGCGCAGGCACGGTGGCGACACGTGCACGCCTGGCGGCACGCAGGGAGGACGCCGTCTGCCGGGATCTGCGCAGGGGGACAACTCGGCTGGACACCCCAAGGGCGGGCGAAGAGAACGATGCACATGCACCGATCCTGGCGACGTCCATCCTTGACCCAGGATCGGTGCAGATTCCTTCCTGGCCAGGGTGAGAGGGCGTATGCACCGATCCTGGGCTCAGGGTGGGCCTGGCCAAAATCGGTGTATGTGCATCGTTCTCTTTTCTCTACAAGGGCGCAGCAAGGCGATGACAGTTGCGCGCGGGGCATCACCGAGGGAGGGCGTGGCCCAATCTGATCCGGACAAGACACCACTCCGCCGGACAGACCAAGAGCGCGAAGCACACTGGCGACGGCTCCACGCCCTGCAACATGCGGAGAAGGCAGAGTCAAACTGGATCTCCGCACCACACCACTCCGCTGGACCCCAAAGGGGTCAAGTGGCGACGGCTCCGCGTTGGGCAACGCCACGTAGGGAAGGGCAAGGTCTGGTCTTGGACCTGCGCAACACACCACGCCGCTGCACATCTCACGGGCGCGGCAAAAGGGCGGCAGATGCGCGCCCTGCAACACCCGCCAGGGGGAGGGCGACGTCCAGTTGGACCAGCGTTGGACACCCCTTCGCTGCAACTGGCAGGTTCGAAACCGAGTGACGAGACTTGTACGCCTGACAACACCCAGGAAGGGTGCGATCTAGCTGGACCTGCGAAGGGCACCGGCTCCGCTGGACCCCACAGGGTTGCGAGAACTAGGAGTCTGGCAAGACCCAAGTGGAATGAGATCTATCTGGATCTGAGTCTGACACCCCTTCCGCTGGGCCGCTTCATGGGCGCAACGAAATGGTGTCATCTGCGCACCTGTCGGCACCCAGAGACGGCGAGGTGAGGAAGCGATCAAGGCGGGAAAAGAGAGGAGAGAGGAAGGGAGGACGGAATGAGCAGCACCGATCCATTCAAAATTATGCTGACGGAGTTCCCCACATAACGATATCAACGGTGTCGTTGGACCCATGGAGTACGACAACATCAACACGAAGGAGAAGCTCATCGAACGAGTAAGTACGCACGAAAGGGCAGACGAAAGAAAGGAGAAAGGAGGACAGGTGCTCAGGAAACGAAGCCTTGTAAATAGTACGGTTTCTTGATACCCTCCTCGCTCTGGCGGGGCCCCGCTGGAAGGGGGGAGGGGCACGAAACCATGTAAATAGCATGGGTTTCCGATACCCTCCTCGCTCAGGCGGGGCCTCCCTGGAGGGGTGGGAGGGGCACGATACCCTCCTCGCTCAGGCGGAGCCTCCCTGGAGAGGTGGGAAGGGCACGAAACCATGTAAATAGTATGGGTTTCCGATACCCTCCTCGCTCAGGCGGGGCCTCCCGGAGGGACGGGAGGGGCACGAAACCATGTAAATAATATGGGTAACCGATACCCTCCTCGCTCAGGCGGGGCCTCCCTGGAGGGGTGGGAGGAGCACGAAACCATGTAAATAGTATGGGTTTCCGATACCCTCCTGGCTCAGGCGGGGCCTCCCTGGAGGGGTAGAAGGGGTACGAAACCATGTAAATAGTACGGATGTCCAATACCCTCCTCGCTCAGGCGGGGCCTCCCTGGAGGGGAGGGAGGGGCACGAAACCATGTAAATAGCATGGGTTTCCGATACCCTCCTCGCTCAGACGGGGCCTCCCTGGAGGGATGGGAGGGGCACCAAACCATGTAAATAGTACGGGTTTCCGATACCCTCCTCGCTCAGGCGGGGCCTCCCTGGAGGGGAGGGAGGGGCACGAAACGATGTAAATAGTATGGGTTTCCGATACCTTCCTCGCTCAGGCGGGGCCTCCCTGGAGAGGTGGGACGGGCACGAAACCATGTAAATAGTATGGGTTTCCGATACCCTCCTCGCTCAGGCGGGGCCTCCCTGGAGGGTATGGTATGTTATGGTAGGTATGGTATGATATGGAATGGTATGGAATGGTAGGCATGGTATGATTTGGGAGGCTGGAATGGTAGGCATGGTATTGATATGGGAGGCGGGAGGGAGAAGGAGAGGATGTTCTGGGAAGACAAGAACCCCACTCAGGATGTGGGGAACAAAGGACCAACACACGACTAGTGGGAATAAACACGCGTATACACACATGTAAACAAATGCTCCCCCACTGTTGACCTCTCCACCCCCGCGCTCTCCACCAGCCAATGGCAGGGGGTGGGAGACGGGGGGGAGGAGGGGGGATCAGGTCGGGAGGCGAGGGAGTAACGAAGGACGAGGGGACGAACAGGACGATCAGGAAGAAGGACGACCAGGCCGAGGCGGGCAAGGAGCGACAAGGGTGGGCAGATGGGGGTCTCCTCCTCCCCTTCTGTTCCCACCTGCACCTCGTCACTCGTCATGGGGCTCCCGGGCAGCCACCTCTGCGCTATCTCTTGGGGCCCCGTGGGCCTGTGGTGGGATCTCTGGAGGCATTCTTGTGGTTTCTTGGGGCAGACTTGCAACACACAGGCCTCGGAACAAGAATAGCGAACACTCATGCCACATTCACCTGTCAACGCCTTGACCGCAGTCTCCCCCGCGCGTGCCAACTTTGAGTTTGGGGGGGAAGGAGGAAGAGGAGGAGGAGAAGGAGGGGGAGGAGGAGGAGGAGGAGGAGGAGGTGTTCAGTAATTGTTCAGTAATTGTTTCCCTCTACCGGATGTCGGCCCTCTGAGGCTCGTGTGAGGCCGTCTTGGAGATGTCTTGGGAGATCTCGGGGCGCCTGTGGGCCGTCGTAGGCAGCCTTGGGGGACCTCTTGGGTTGGGTCGAGCATGTCCTCCTGGAGGCGGATTTTGGGCGACAAATGAAACGTAGCCCCAAACATGTTCAAACATGGTCGAAAAATGATACATCATATCGTCCCCAGACTGTTTGTTTACTATGTTTGAATACTCCTCCTGCCGAGGGGCACGCCCGACTTGCAGGCAGTCTTGGGGGGCCTCTTGGGCCGTCCTGGGCTCCTGGGGACGCCCTCTGGGGTCTCTTGGGGGCTCTCGTTCGACCTCGGGGCCCGCCGCGGGTCACTTTGGGGCGCCCTTTTGCACCTCCGAGGCCACTTGCGAGCTCAGCGTTGCCAACACGTGCGCAGTCCAACAAGCTGCCAGCACCTCACGAATCCTGTATGTGCTTGACTTCTTTCGGCGGTCCTGGGGCCCCCTTCTCGCGTCTTGCGGCCCTCTTGGGGGCCGTCATGGGCTCCTCCAGAGGCACCCCAGGGTCTCTGGGGGCACTCCTGGTCTACCTTGGAACCCTACTCGGGCCTTCTTGGGGCCCGCGTCGGGTCCTTTTGGGCGCTCGTTTGCACCTCCGAGGCCGCTCGCGAGCCACATGCTGCCAAAACGTGCGGAGTCAAACAAGTTATCAAATCCTCATGACGCCCCCCTTGGTATTCGACTGGTTTGACCAGTCTGGCGGTCCTCTTCCCGCGCCTTGGTGCCATTGTCTGGTCAACCTGGAGCCTCTTGAAACCTCTTTGGCTGCTTTGGAGTCGTGCGTGAGCCCTTTTGGGATTTATGTAGTAGCGCCGTTTGCTCTCGAAGCGCTCAAGTGGACGACGCCGGCACCGCGGCAAACCCACGGCAAGCCCTGCGCCCCGCGCTCAAGCAGACGAAGCCGGCACCGCGGCACACCAACAGCAAGCCAACAGGAAGCCCTTGGTGGGCGCGGCGCCCGACGCGCTACCCAAGGCTCCAGGCCGGGCGTCGGAACTAGCAGCGCGGCGACGTATGCAGGTGGACACGCGGGTCGTCGTTATGGCTCCCGGCCCACGAGGGGGTGGTGGCCATTCGGCGGTCCAAGGGCCAGGCGTCGCGCGCGTGGGAGCTGCAAGCAAACACGCCCCCTCCCCTCTCGGTTCTCCCCCTCGGCGCCTTCCTGCCACTGCCCCCTCCCTGCCCTTTCCCCTCCTCCTCCTCCTCCGGGTCCTCCTCCTCCTTCTCATCCTTCCCCCTCATTCCCCCTCCCTCCTCCTCCTTCCCCCTCCCCTCCCCCTTCTCTCCCCCTCCTCCTCGCTGCGCATCGCTTCGCACTCCCTCTCATGCCACGTGCAATCCACAGCTGCTCACCGGCACAGGGCAGGCCTCGCTCTGGACCTCGGCATCTCGTCTCTACTCCAGCGTCGATGCTAGTTGCATTGCTTGACTTAGGTCGGGCATCTCCTCCTATAGGCGGATTTTGGACGACACATAAAACAGACTTACAACAACCAGGCGCAAACATAGTCATCAAAACGTTTCCAGACTATTTTTCACTAGTTCTGAATATTCCTCCTGAAGAGGGACAAGCGCGACTTAATGCTAGGCACATCGAGGCCGGAACGCCTAACGGAAGGGGGGGAGTGCGAAGTAAAGCCCTCCACTCCTTCGTCCTCCTCCACTCAAGCACGCAACAACAATCATGGCCGTGAGGGTAGTGAACACACATAATTGAAGGTGAGCTCTTGAGCTCTATCATCCTTCCCCTTGCTCTCCTCGTCAACGTCGTTCCCCTCCTCCTCAAACCCTCCCCCTCTCTCCCTCATCCGCCTCTTCCTTCCCCAATCCAAACTCCTCCATCCTGCTTGTCCCTCCTCCGCGTTTCCCACACACTCCAACTTCATCATCTACCCTTCTCCCTCGTCACCCCTCCTTTTTCCCCTCCATCCATCCCGCTCTCCCTCCCTCCCTCATCCCCCTTTCGTATCAGCTCCTCTTCTCCTCTTCCTCCTCACACCTCTTCTTTTGCCCCTCCTCCTCCCCTCCCCCCTAACCTCGGCTGGATTCCCTCCTCTCTCTCCTCGCTCTTCCACGGCCTCTTCTTGCTGTGTCATGCTTATCCTCCTCCTCCTCCTCCCGTTCACGAGATGTGCAGATAGTGACCGAAACCCGACTCCTTGAAGTATTTGGCATGCGCAAGCTTGCTCCCTCGTGCCCAAAGCCCCGCCTCGGACAGAGTCAACTGCTGCTACTACTGCTGCGACTACTACTTCGGCTCGAGCTTGCGCTCGGGCTGGAGATGCCGCCGCACACGCGGGTGAAATCGGTACAGATCGACACCTGGCGACCCCCATCCTTTGCACACTGGAAGGCGACTTCAAAAAAGAGGGGTAAGCGGGACAGAGGGAGGATGAAGGAAGGAGGGAAGCGGAAGGGGGAGGCGTAGAAAGTAGGACGGGGAGTGGGAAAGGGCTCGAGGAGGAGGCCGTAGGGAGAGAGCGTGCAGCGAGAGGGAGAGATGGGAGCAGAGATGGGGGTGAAGGGGAGGGGAGGATGGAGAAGGACAGACGAGTGAGGAGGGAGGAGGGAGGAGTGGCGAGTGTGGGGGGGGAACAGAACGCAGAGGAATGGCGGAGGGCGAGCACCCGGACCAGAGGAAGCAGGGTGGAGGGAGACGGACATGGCCATGAAGGAAGACACCAAACCTGAAAGACTTAGAGAACCAACTTTACCGTCTTAGGTGGGGAGAGGAGAGACTCCTCGTCCTCCTCCTCCTCCTCCTCCTTCTCCTCCTCTGACGCTGTGGACTGAAAAGCATAATCCAAATAATACCCATGCCCACCGAAACACTGGACCACACAACCGCGCAGAGCAACTGCGCGCAGAGAAGCAATGTTCAACTGTCAACCCGTCCCCTCACATTCATCCGCTGCTTGTTTGAGAAGTTGAGCGCCATGTTGCAAGGATTTGGGCCTGGCGCTCCCCTTCAGGCGTGTGCGATGTTCGTGGGACCTGGCAACATACATGAATCGATGGTTGCACATGGCAACGGGGAGTACAAACAGGGCAACATTGTGGTCATACCATTTGACACCGCAATCATGTAGGGGGTACTTCCAAACGCAAGCCAGAACTCTGCACAACCTGGCAACGAGCTAACATCACACAGACGTCAACGCGCAACTCCCCCCACCTCCCTCACTCATGCTCCCCTCCTTAATATGTTTTTTTCTCTCTCTCTCTCTCTATATATATATGTATATATATGCATATACCGGTGCGGCTGCTTATTTGTATAATATGTACATATACGCATGAGTGTTTATGTTATATAGCTTGATATGCAAATACGTACATCTATGTGTAATACATGCATAGTTATATATATATATATAGCATCCCGCAAGTGAGGATAATAATGAGAGGGGCGGGCGCGGCCGACGCGGGCGTCGAGCCAGCGGACCTCGTGGCCCTCACCTTCCCTGTCGATGGCGCTCTCCTCCTCCTCCTCCTCCTCCTCCTCCTCCTCCTCCTCCTCCTCCTCCTCTCCTCTCCTCCTCCTCCTCCCTCCCTCTCCCTCCCTCCTCTCTCCTCTTCGTCGTCGGCGTTCTCGTCCTCATCGTCGTCGTCGTCGTCGTCCGCCTCCTCCTCCTCCTCCTCCTCCTCCTCCACCTCCTCCTCCTCTTCTTCCTTTTCCTCCTCCTCCTTCTCCTGGGTCGCGGGTGGGTCGCAGGTTTTCCACCTGGAACGAATGCAAAAGAAGCCCGCCGCACGCGCCGAAAATTTTGGATGGGTCGCGGGGTGGGTCGCGGGTGGGTCGCGGGGTGGGTTGCGGGTGGGTCGCGGGTGGGTCGCGGGTGGGTCGTTGGGTGTGTCGCGGGTGGGTCTCGGGGTGGGTCGCAAATGGGTCGCCAATTCAAAAGAAACCCGCCGCAGGCGCCGAAGTTTTGGCTTGTTAAGTGAACGTAGTTTGGGTCGCGGGTGGGTCGCGGGCTCTCCACCTCCACCTGGAAGGAATTCCAAAACAGCGTGCCGCAGGCGCCGAACATTTTGATGTGTACACTGAACGCGGTTCGGGTCGCGGGTGGGTCGCAAGTTCTCCACCTGGAACGAACGCAACAGAAACCCACCGCAAGCGCCGAAAAAATTGGGTTGGTCGCGGGGTGGGTCGCGGGTGGGTCGCGGTGGGTCGCGGGTGGGTCGCGGGCGGCTCGCGGGTGGGCCGCGGGTGGGTCGCGGGTGGGTATCGGGGTGGGTCGCGGGTGGGTCGCCGATGCAAAAGAAACCCGCCGCAGGCGCCGAAGTTTCGGCTTGTTCAGTGAACGTAGTTTGGGTCGCGGGTGGGTCTCGGGCTTTCCACCTCCACTTGGAAGGGATTCCAAAACAGCCTGCCGCAGGCGCCAAAAAAAATGATTTGTACACTGAGCGCGGTTCGGGTCGCGGGTGGGTCGCAGGTTCTCCACCTGGAACGAATGCAAAAGAAGCCCGCCGCAGGCGCCGAAATTTTTGGGTGGGTCGCGGGTGGGATCGCAGGTGGGTCGCGGTGGGTCGCGGGTGGGTCGCGGGCGGCTCGCGGGTGGGACGCAGGGTGGGTCGCGGGTGGGTCGCCAGTGGCTCGCGGGTGGGTCGTGGGTGGGTCGCCAGGTGGGTCTCGGGGTGGGTCGCGGGCGGGTCGCGGGGTGGGTCGCGGGTGGGTCGCGGGGTGGGTCGTGGGTGGGTCGCGGGGTGGGTCGCGGGTGGGTCGCGGTGGGTCGTGGGTGGGTCGTGGGGTGGGTCGCAGGTGGGTCGCGGGGCGGGTCGCGGGTGGGACGGCGACAACAATAAACAACACACACACACACCAAACAACCACAACAACAACAGTCATTTTAAGACTGTTCGCCCATATCTGCTCGAGTGTCCAATAACGCGTATTTCCCAAACCCTCGATACCCGCCCTCCTCATATTCGATCGAACCCTTTTTGGGGGGTATACCTTTCTTCCCTGCAGGCCGGGCCCCGGCAAGCGGCGGGACGGCCGCGGACCGTAGGCCTGGCCAGCGGCAGCGCTGATCGGCGCGGCGGCCGCGGACCGTCGACCCGACCCCAAGAAGGACGGACAGGGGACCGACCACGACGACGACGACGACGACGACGTCGACGATGACGGCGACGACGAGCGAAAGCGAGAGCGAAAGAGAACGACAGCAGGGCCACGAAGGACACGACGTAGGCCACGAAGGGCGACAGCGGGGACACGAAGGGAATGCGTATGGGGCCACGAAGTGCGCGAACGAGCGGGGGCCACGAAGGGCAGACAATGCGGGGCCACAGAAGGCAACAATGGGGCCACTGAGTGTAGCACCTGGGCCACGCAGGACAGCGATGGGGGCCACAAATGGCGACAGCGGGGCCAGGAAGGGCATGCACATGGGGCCCCAACGGGCGCGACTCCTGGGTGCCTGGGTGTCGGGAGCGCGGTGCTTGGGCAAATTGCAAGAAATTCCAACGCACGGGCGCTATTCTTCAGTAAATTGCAAGCAGGTCTCCAGCGAGAGCGCGACTCCAGAGCGCCGGGAGAGCGACTCCTGAATACATTGTACGGAAGTCCCAAGCGAGAGCGCGAATTCTAAATAAAATGCGAGGAAGTCTCAAGCGGGAGCGGGAGTCCTGGCTAACTTGTGAGGAAGTCTCAGGCGGGAGCCGTTGTTGTTGGAACCCTGGGGCCAGGGGCACAGTTTGAGCCTCAAGATTTTCCCTGATAAAGAACAGGGTGCGAGCGCTGGGAGGGGCACTTCAATTGAAAAAATACAATGTGCACCGGTGGGGGGGATGAACAATAATTATTCTTCAGTAGTGAGGGTTCAACATAAATTCGCGTCGCGGAATTCCACTTCAGCCACGCACCTAGGGACAGTGAATGACCGTTCGGTTCAGCCCCCTCACTCTGATAATATATATATATACATATATATAAATATTATTGGGCCCTCACGGGCCGGACTGGGACCAACCGGGCGGGCCGCGATTCAGACACCCCAGACCGTGCACATGTTTTGCTGTACCAGCTTGCGAATGTCTATGCGTACGTATATGTATATGCGTGTATGTGTACATGTACATGCACACGTATCTATACATACATATACATATGTATAGAGAGGAGACGTCCAGTATGTATGTATACAATGCATCGATTCATCCCCGATCCCCACCCCCTCTCTCCCTCTCTCCCTCTCCAATGCTGCGCGCGCTTCTACTTCTGAGTACGCCTGCCAGATCCGGCCGAAGGCGAGAGGTCAACCCCGTCGCTGCTTCCAAGAGGAGGCCTCCCTGGAGCTATTAGTACGGCGTCGCCCCCTCTCCATCGTCTGCTTGCAAGCTGATGCTGAACTCCCGCACGTCGTCGCCCCGTCGGATTGCTGAAAGAAGGAACACTAAACAAAAAGGACAACCCCTTTTTGGTCTCACGAGCGCCTGCGTGGGCGAGGAGCGCTAGAGAAAAAACCACGGCGACCCCCTTCTGGACCCAAACTGTTCCTGATTTCAGCATCTTGGCTGTAGATTCTCCACCTCCTCCTTCCCTATCTCATCTTTCTCGTCCACCTTCTGGTTTCCCACCAGCGTACAAAACGTAACATCCTTCTGCGTGCACTGCCGTTGCCTGGACCGTCGTCACAGTAGGCTCAGAGATGTGAGGCATACAACAGCTGTTGCCCACCCGAGGTACGCCCGCCTCCTTGAAGGGCGAATGTGAAAGACGAAACTCGGGGGGTAAAGGGACAGCCGCGATCGTGAAGCGGAACTACGTTCGCACTTCTCGGGTCCTGAATGTCTGGTCCCCGTCCCGTGCATTCCCGCTCCTTACGTCGACGACTCGATGCCTCGACAAAAGCGCATCGACATCAATTGGAACAGATTTCGGCGTAATCAGAAAACCTCATGTCGAAATGAATTTGATGAGGGGCTCAGCGTAGACGGGGGGCGCGGCGAAGAAGAGTCACCATCGACCGCTGGCGTCACTGATACAACTGCAGTAACCTTCCTTTCGCTCTGAGATCCCACATACTTCCTCCTTATCATCATCATCTTGGCCCTCGTCCTCGTCCCCACTTGCTCTCCCACAAACTCTCCTCCAGTGGAGGGATGAGCTCGGGTGCTTTGGGTTGCTGTCGCGAGGAGCGAGCGCGGATCTGTCCGCCCGAGCCACAAAACGTTGCGGCGGTTCCTGCATGGAGGGGCAAGGGGCAGCGGGAAGCGAGGGAGGGAATGGAGGAGGCGAACGGGGACGGATGCAGCAGGAGGCGAGAGGGAGCGGCGGGCGGACGCAGAGTCGAACGACAATCCAGATCGAGCGCACCTGTCCCAGTCATGTTCGTCAGCACCGGGGACGAAGGAATCACGTGGTGCATGGCTGCGGTGACGGGAGCAAGAGGAGGAGGAGGAGGAGGAGGAGGAGGAGGAGGAGGAGGAAGAGGAGGAGGAAAACGAGGAGGAGGAGGAGGAGGAGGAGGGAGAGGAGGAGGAGGAGGAGGAGAGGAGGAGGAGGAGGAGGAGGAGGGCTGCGGTGACGGGAGCAAACACGACTGGAGCAGGACCCCGAAACACGGGCGAGCCCGGAGGAGCCCTCTTTTTACTCGCCGGGTGGGGCGACGTGCCGAGCTTGAGTGGCAACACTTGCGTATGGTGTCTGGCAGCCCGTCGCTGGATTGACGACCCCCCACGCACACTTCCCACCGCCGGGTCTGGGTGCTCGTCTTCCCTCCAATACACACTTCCCACGTGCTCCCACGTCTCTTCCTGGGAGTCGACGCTTCCTTGTGCCTGCGTGCTCTTTCCCCTCCTCCTCCTCCTCCTCCCCCTCTCTCCTCCCCCCTCCTCTCCTCCTCCTCCTCCCTCTCCTCCTCTCTCCTCCTCCTCCTCCTCCTCCTCCTCCTTCTCCTCCTCCTCCTCCTCCTCTCCCTCCTCGCTCCCTTCTCCCTCTCCTTCTCCGA